AGACATAATAAACCCGATATGGTAATATGGAATAAACCTGAAAAACCGCCATCATAATCGACTTCTCAGTACCGCAGGATTATAACGTGGCTAAAGCCTATGCAGATAAGATAAACAAGTACGCTGCACTTTCTCAGGAAATAAAAGCAATCTGGGAACTGCGGAAGGTGATTATAGTACCGTTAATAATAAGTGCCAATGGACTTGTGCACAAAATGACAAACCAACATATCAAAGAACTAAACCTCCTGAACAACACCATAATGTGGATGCAAAAGCAGTTGTGCTTGGTACCGTCGGAATTATTCGAAGAATTGTCTCACCTTTATTGACAATATTCGTCGTGCCCTTGGCTGGTTACAGCCCGGACATGGACTAGAACTACCACTAACAGTGTGAAAAAAAAAAAAAAAAATATATATATATATATATATATATATATATATATATATATATATATATTTAAGGAAAGATAAGAATTGGCTATAACTCAGTAATTTTTCGAAAACATATATAATATATATATATATATATATATATATATATATATATATATATATATATATATATATATATATATATATATATATATATATGTTTTAAATATATATATATATGGGGGAAAAGTTTATTAAGTTTGGATTATTGTGAGAACAGTTTAATAGGAAGTATTCTGTCTTTTTTTAGGTTATTAAATAACAGTTTAGTATACTGTAAATTATAAGTGGGAATTAGTTAACGAATTAGTCACAGCAATTGGCTATAACTCAGTGCAATTTTCGAAAAAACATATATAATATATATATATATATATATATATATATATATATATATATATATATATATATATATATATATATGTATATATATATATTTATATATATATATATATATATATATGTATATATATATATATATATATATATATATATACATATATATATGTATAGGTATTTATACTATATTATGGTATATATATATATATATATGTATATGTATATATATATATATATATATATATATATATATATAGTATATATATATATATATATATATGTATATATATATATATATATATATATATATATTTTATATGTTTTTTCGAAAAATTACTGAGTTATAGCCAATTCTTATCTTTCCTTGACTAATTTCACTTCGTTGGTATGGTATTCTTATTCTGTTATGATTTATAACTTATAAAAAGACAGAATATTTTATTAAACGGTTCTTTACAATAACTAAAACTTAATAAACTTTTCCCGTACCGCCTCTTCGAGTGCCTCTTTTAATTCATAAGTTCTTTTGTAAACCTTGTGGTTAACCATACCGCATAAAAAAATCTAAAATGGATAGGTCAGGTGATCGAGGAGGCCCATGCAATTGGTCCGCCTCTTCCTATCCCTGAGTTTGCATAATTACGATTACGAAAAGCTTAAAAAATTGCGCTTTTTATGAAGCCATGGTTTCCATTCAAAAAAAACATATGTTAGTTGCATATGTCAAAAATGACAGGCTTTAGAAAAAAACGGAGGATGTAATCTCATTATGGATGTGATTATCTATAACTTTTATCTGAAAACTTTATGTCTAAAATAGATTATAATGGAATTAGGGACAATTTTTGAAATAGCCAAAATTTGTTTTTTTCGGTTGTGAACTGCAATTCTTTCCCCATTTAACTGACTCTCTATCTCCAGTAGTTTTCGAGATACCCATAGAGAACATCGTAAGAAACTCACCCTGTATATTATACATAACTAATGGCAATGTTAGTCAGTCAGATGAATAGCGGAACAGTGCTAGTGAGTCGTCCCCAATATACGTAAAAAATATATACAGGTTGTTAACTGGACAGTTACCTATAGAGGAACAGAATGGCAACACTGCCTATTGAGAACGCATGCGCTTATAGGGTTTTCCGCCAACTCGTCCCGTCGCGTCGTCTATCGACCAGCGGGCCGATGTTGCCATATTTCAACCATAAAGCTCTTGCCGCGCGTAATAAACAAATTAACAACCTGGATTAATATTTATTAATATTTGATTTGGGGACATCATTTTATTGACGGACATCGATCAATGTCAAAATTAAAATTATTTTTATTATATAAATTAAATATAATTAATTTTTTTACGTATATTGGGGACGACTGACCAGCACTGTTCCGCTATTCAGCTGACTGACTAACATTGCCGTTATTTATGTATAATATATAATAATGTATAACGGTTTTCAGCCTTAGTAAATCCGTTGTATTACCTAAGTTATCTTCACAACTTTGACCACGTCCCAGAGGTCCCTGTTCTAATTTTCGCTTGACTGACCGCGGTATATGTATGTACATAACTACTGTAATCAACTGTCTAAAAACTGGCTTTGGTAAATTCAGAGCCTTTTTTCTTTGCTGGCTCTCTGTCTATAAGCTTGCATGCGAGCGTGACGCAGCATCTCCGTCGACAGAGGTTCGCAGTTTTGCATGGAAGCAGCATCTAAGCGCAGTCCAAACGTATAATGACGAAGACGTGTCTATAAAGCTACACCTCCGTGGACAGTGGGCCTTATGGTGCGTTCATGCTTCCGATCTTAACCCTAACACTAACATTAGTTCTAAGATCTAATCCCAAGAATATAAATGAACGTTAACGAACGCGAGCTTTCATGCTTCCAACGTATCGATCTTAACATTACCCTTAGTCCTAATGGGTCCTAAGAAATATGGGATATTTTATATTCTTAGTGCTAATGCTAATTCAAAATTCATTGGCTCACGCTCTACAAACTAGAGGTTTTAAGAATTTTCAGAGGAATTCTCGAAATATTTGACGAATGTCGAATTTAGCGGTTTAATAAATGTTAATAAATCATTTATTTTTTGGTTTAGGAAATCCATTTTATTTTTAAAATTCTAGTGTTACAGTTTTAGTTACCATACTCCTCCAAAACGGCTTAACCGACTTTGATGAAATTTTATATGTATATTCAGTAGGTCTGAGAATAGGTTGTTATCAATTTTTTATACCCCTAAGTGATAAAGGTGGTCCACCACAATTTTTTTTTAATTTTTTGGATATTTTTTTTATGATGTGGCATTAAAAAATACATACAACCCTAAATTTTCACCTTTCTACCATCAACCCCTATTTTTTAATAGCGATACTAATTCAATAATTTTCAACCTGTAAATAAAAATTACTGTTGTCCCATAAAAATATTGTCAAGAAAAATGGCGCATCCGCCAGAAATTAAAAATGTATTACTGGTTGCCTGCACAACCGCAACGTATCCGCCAGAAATTAAAAGACTTTTTCGGGCGCCATCTTTTAGTCAAGTCGAGAAGTAAGGGAATCAGACAATAGAATTGTCTGGTATGGGCAAGTGCTTACTAGAATATTCTTATAAGTAGGGCTGCACCGAGTAAAGAGTAGTTCGGTGCTCGGCTAGAATTTTAACCGAGTAATATGTACTCGGTGCTCGGCCTTACTCGGCCGAGTAAAGTATAGTAATAGAAACAATCCATTTATGCATGTCCAAAACAGATAGAAATGAGACTCAGAGTGGCAAATAATAAAATAAAAAGTTATTCATTCATAACTTTAATTAATGTATTTTAGCAAAGTAATAATAATAAGTATAAGTAATGACACAAACAGTGAAATAATAATTTAATACTTATAATCTAAAAGAAGTCAGCACTGTCACTCATTTTAATATAACTTTAAAGGGTATTATTAATTGTTTAAATTATTTTTGACTTTTAAATTAGTTACACATATAAGTTTTGCTTAAAACAAAATCAACGTCGCCACCGCACCTTAAAAGAATCAATTCAGCATCCAGCACATTAGAAATATCACTTTGCATGGGGAACCACAGAATAAAACAATATCTCCATAAGAAAAACAAACCAGGTCATTGGGTTGTAGTCGGGGAATCCCAGCCGCTAGGCAAAACAAACAAGATCATTGGTTTAAGGCCGGGGAATTCAGTGAATTTTAACTAGCTTTCTTTAATGTTAAATTATATATTTATATTATGTATAAAATATAATATTATGTTATGGTGTATAGTATAATTAGTATATATTGATAAAGGTCGTAAAACTGTTAAGACTACTCGGCAGCCGAGTACTAGGTACTCGGCCATTACCTTTAGCCGAGTACTCGGTACTCGGTCAAGTTAAAAAACAGGGCTCGTTACAACCCTACTTATAAGTATGAACGGCATTTCCATAAGCGTGTTCTTAAGGTTAAATTCTTAGGATTAATAATAAAGGTAAGGTTAGGACTAAAGCTACACGCACACTGGTGCGATCACAGCCGCGATCACGATCAGGGCAGCGGTAACATGAGCGATCATTCTAGCACACACCAACTTCACTGCCGTACCTATATGTAGTGCGCCGGCCTGTAGGTATACATAGGTACAAATTAAAAATGTGAGTTATGTATACCGAAAAAAAAACATTCTTAAATGTTCACCTACAAAATTTAAACTTAAACAATAAAAATGTACTATGCAATCCAATTTTGTCTCAAATTTTCTATTTTTAATTCTATTATTTTTGTAACTTGGATCGGAAAAATCATATAGAATTTTGTGTAGTTTTACAGCCTTAATTAGCTGCTCTGTTAACTCCATTTCTAAATTGCAACAAGAAAAAACACACAAAATAACGGAAAATTCCTATCAATTGGGTCGCGATCGCGCGATCAAACTCGACAAGTTGAATCTGATCGCCACCGCAGAATAGAACGCCGCCAGGCCGCTTCGTCTCCAAAACTAGATCGCGCCAATATGAAACGGCTCATATGGATTCTTTAGCAACTTTTGACCGCGGCCGCGTGGAGATCGTGATCGCGGCCGTGATCGCACCAGTGTGCGTGTAGCTTTACTCAAAGTATGAACCCACCATTAGAGTAAAATAATAGTTGTCAAATTATTATTTAACTCTAAAACGAGATTTATTATTTTAATATTTATTCAATAACTGTATACCTACATTGCTGTATACAAATGTAGCATGCAACCGTAAGGTTGCCATTGCTTATCTCCTTTATATCTCCCATCAGATAACAACCAGTGACATGAATTACTTCCTAGATTATAAAAATAAAACTAATTATTTTTAGTTCTAATCTCTACACCTAGAATAAAGGACACAGCTACAAATAACATTATAAAATATACAAATGTCTAAAAAATATACAAATGTCCAAACCAAACCAAACCGTAACCTCCAATCGTTACCATTTTTCCTCTCGGGTCTCGTGTGTCACGGCCTTCAATTTTTACTCTTATCGCGCGTAAAGAAGTTTCACTTCAAAAAAAACTTTATCAGCATTCATGAGACGCAGAGCAGATTTTAACAACGCAAAAATATGATGAAAGAACCAATTGCCCCTAAACAAAAATAAAAGAGGCTTTTTTAATACAATCTAATATAAATAAATGTATTGCTCAGACATCTGTAGAGGTTAGTAATATATGGCTATCGATGCTTTAATTTTAATTAACATAAGGTAAATAAACATTGCATAAGTAAAAATTACAAACAAATAAAAAATAATAATTTACAGAAGGTTTGAGGCTTTTTGGTTTTTCCTGATTAATCCTTTACTGCTGACATTACTTTCTGTAACATTAATATTGACATTAAGTCTCACAGACTCCGTTATACAAAATGCTTTTATTAAAGCAAACCTAGTTGTGGATTTTATGTTTTTAATGTAAAACTGCTGTTCTTTTTTCACTTTTTAGGGTATTGTTATATGACACCTTTTACGGAAACTCCCTAATACAAAGAAAATTAGAAATACATTTTTTTGGTAGCAAACAAACTCAAAATTCAATATGTCCCTTTGTACTTTCTAAAAATACAACAAAACAAAAACTAAATTGTAATATATTATATACAGCCTATTTGTGCACTGGAGTAAAAATATATAATTTTAATTAATATTTTCAAATTAGACAATAATTCTGACAACATTTCTTTGAATACTTCAATTGTTTTTATACAAAAGGAGTACATACGATAACTTTTTTCTCTATTTTGATGCATATACATTATGTCTAGCTTTTATTGCATGAGCTTCATCTTCTGTCTTCGACTGGTCCATGATCTTTTCTTCAGTTATCTTGTACAGTTTCTTGCTCACTATTGGTTAATTGGTTGCTATGCCCCATTGTACCATTACATATACACATTAATAAATAAATATATACAGTCACTACATATACACACATATGTCATCAAAATATCAACTCCACTAATTTTCCACTAATGCTGACATGAAGTCGATCAGACTAAGCAACGTCAATATTTCGAAACGTCAACTTTTCGGTAGAATAAAGCATAGTAAAAATCTGAAACGTACACCGAGTGCGAGTACCATGCAGCAGAAACAATTATTGTAGCGAGGGTAATCGTGTGCCAAAGTGGCCGTGGAGTCTCTCAGACTATGTCAGCAGTTAGAGTTAATATAAAAATGATAGTAAATAGTAATACAAATGTTTTATACCTATCTGGGCGAATAGTGTATTTTCTGGATAAAAAAGTATTATAACATAATATATACACAATACTTAAAATACCTATATAGATATGTATATAGGTAGATGATATCAACTTGAACTTACCATATTTCAAGTGTATAAGTACATGATATACAGAAAATCCCAATACTAATAGAAGAGCTACTTTTTTGGCGTTTCTGGAATTAATCTGGTGAATTAATTTCTCAACTCGCGATTCTTCCATTTTTAAAGGCCTTTCCTTACAGAAAAATGAAAGCGTAACACGCAAAACTCTTATTTATATATTCTTTTAATACTATTGAAATCGCAAAACACATACATTGAAATTATATTGAAATACATATAAAAATTTTAGATAAACATAAAATATTTCGAATGTTTGCCACCTTTTTGCCACAGAGATATAGAGTAGAGATCATATATATGATATACATGTGATATAGGTACATCATATAGAGATAGGAGAACCATAGGAGAACACAGTAGGAGAATGAGCTTGAAGGTGCGCAGAAATAAAGATCCTGAGACCGCCATCACCGCCATGCGCCATGATCATGCTTAGATCTATAGGGGGAAGTCAAAAAGTAATGATCATACTAGAGTGGTTAATGATATAAGATTAATTATATTAGCTGTAATACAGTTGCGGTTTATATCTATAAAATAAATAAATAAGTATTTTAGTATACTTATATCATAGGAATTTTGTATATAAAAGCTTACTATAAATATTTTAAGAAGTTTGTTTTAGTCATTATTTTCGTTTATTGAAAATAATGTTTTTAAAACATTCTTACTTCAAATAAATATCGGAAACTAAAGAAAAAATAGAAAGAAATGCAATCTCTAACATTATGAGAATTTTTCAAATTTATTGTGTTACAATATTTTTCAGAAAATAAAACAAAAACTGAATATCATAAACATTTATGTTCTAAACAAAATTTTACATATATGTTAATATATCACCAGATCACCACACATAATTATTGCACAGTTATATTTCAATATTCAACAATATATACAAATAATATCTGAATTAAATCTTGAAACATATTTATGTACCTAGTATCCTACTACGTGATTAAGTATATCATTTGTAATGACTATATTATAAGAATTTGAAATAATCAAAATATTATATACTCGAAAAAAAATACGAGAAATACATTTAATTTTTTAATGTATTTAATTTTTATAAATAATTATTAGGTTATACAAATAAGTATATAACATAAATATAACTTACAAGTGAAAACTAATGTTTGTATGAAGACCAGTATTCTTCCTGTTATTCTTGCAGTCTTTTACAGTACAAGACATGATTGATGATGACTATATAATAAAAATAAAATACTAAACAAAGAACAATCACTAATTAAAACACTAATTGGCTATACCAACTAAAACATTAACAAAAATTATTTTCTACACAAAAAAACACTAGAAACAGTTCAGAATAGTAGAAAGTTTATCACGATCATCATCATTTTCAATTTTTGAGCTTATTCAACCATTTCCAATTATGATGTAGCCTTCCTCACATATTTAGATTTAGATTTATTTTGTGGTCCATCTATTGTCCGTCCTTCTTGCCAGGGGTCTCGCCCATTGCCACTTGAGGGATTTGACTCTGTGGATGACATCTATTACCTGGGTCGTTGTGGTATCCACTCTATTCTTTTAGGGTCCCAGCATATTTCATTCTATTGAGTTTTGTGTGATGTGCAGTTTCCTTATGATGTCCGTTTTAAGTGTCCATGTTTAGCATGCATAGGTTATCAGGTTATCACTGGTAGACTACCAGTGGTAGTACACATTGGTTGAATGTTTTCTTCTTTAGATAAAGTGGCATTCCAGATTTGAATATGATTGAGTTTTTTCCATAAGTACTCCATGCCCTCCATGCCAACTTAATTCTTCTGTTGATTTCTGATAATAGAGATCCCGAGCTGTGTATTAGTTGTCCCAAATACATGTATTCTTCTACGATTTCCAGTGCTGTGTTATTTATTAGAATGGCTTTTCTGTCCACTAGTTCATTATACAGTACTTTACATTTTGCTAAGTTCATTTTGTAGCTTGTAGTTCTTTAGGGCTATTAGCCATAAGGACTAGTCATTAGCAAATCTTGATGGTTGAGATATTCTCCATCTATTTTTAATCCTTTGCTGGTCCAGTCCAGTTGACAGAAGATTTCTTCTAATGTTGCTGTAAACAGCTTTGGGGATATCGTGGTTCCCGGTTGTACTCCTTTACCACTTTACCAGTTGGGAACTCTGGGGTTGTTTTATAAATCTTTACTCTTGCTTTGGCTTCTTTGTATATATTGGCGAAAGTTTCTATATAAGGCCTTGCAATACCTTGTTTCGCTAGTCGCTAGGGCTTCTATTATTGCCTTAGGATATCGTATATCGGATCGAAAGCCTTCTCAAAGTCCATAAAGGCTATTGCTAGTGGAAGTTCGTATTCTTTTGTTCGGCTGATAGTTTCTTGTGTATGTATGTGATCAATCGGTGCTGAAGAATGCTGAAGAAAAGCTGTTTATATCAGTCTGTAAGTTAAAAAAAAAAAAAGGAAAAATTAGCCTCGCCACCATACTCGCCACATTAAACTTGAAAAAAAAAATAGCCACAGACAAGAAATATACTAAGATAGGAAAACAATAGAATAATAGGATGAAATGTCAGAACGGTCTGCTGTTATTACTTTTTGATTTCCCCTGTACGCCTAAACACTAACATGGCGCCCATGTAGGCATCAAGATTTTTGGATGCGCACTCGTCGAAGCTCATTCTCCTTATGTCTTATATCTCTGGTTTGCCACAGATGTTTGCGGGTATTAATTATATCCAAGTTATGTCTTATGGCACAGAATAGGGAGTTTTCGTTGCTTTAAACAAATTCAACGGTACGGTTAACGGATACGTAACCATAACCGCTATTTTGACAGATAAAAAAACAGTTTTCGGACTTTCGGTTCATCGGTTCGGAGCCGACATACGATACGACAACCGAAAACTGACAGCTGAGCACAGCCCGTAGCGTAGTGTTTTGATTTTTGGTTTTTGTATTGTTGTTTGATTTGAAAGTGCTTTATATGCCTTTATTGGGTATCGCTATATAGGATGGACAATTTAATTTTATTGGACTCTAGTGATGAATCGGATTTGGAGGATGCTATGCTGTTGGAAGGGTTTGAAAACAACATCGAATATCGAGCAGAACTTTATGGGGAGTTCAACCTAGAAATATTATCTGGAATTAGTTGAAGCACTAAGAATTCCCAACGAGTTTAACACAGATAAAATAAATAATCAAAACATAAACAAAATAGAATGAGGTTAGGTTAGATCTGTATTTTTCAATGTTGTGTTTCTACTGCGCTAGTGCGCATGCGTACCGCTATGTTAACGGCTTTGGCTAACGTCCGTAAAATATCGGCAGCTAGCGGTTACGATATACGATAATCGAAATTGAAATGTCAAAGTTGTCAATTAGCGTTAACCGGAATTGCAATTTGTAAGCAACGAAAACTCCCTAATATCTAGCTACGCTTGCGTAGCTAGATATTCTGTGCTTATGGTCAAAGCTTATGGTTATATCTGGTTTTGGAGGGCTTAAAAAAGGAGGTTTATCGGCAATGGAAAGGGCAATGGGCATATTTGAAATCTGTCAAATTCTGTCCCTACTTTTAAGGGTCCTCGGTTTGACAGTAAAGGCACTGCGATCGATACTGAGACTATGTTTTCTATTATTTATACGGTTTAAAGTTTGTTTTTGCTAAACTTATAGTTAATTTGTTGAATTTTTAGCAGTATAACAAGAGTGTTGCGAACAAAAACTATACAGTAGAAATAGCTCTGTACCTGGCTGTAGAAGTGGATATTTCAATGAAAAAAAAGGCCATATAGCCAGATATAGCCTCCATATATCTGGTTTATGGCTGCTAATTCAGGGTACAGTTTATTATTCTTTATTCAATGGGGTACAGGGCGGGTAAAAGGGTAATGTCATGGAGGATAAAGAAGGGGATGCGCTACAATACGCATTTCAGTTTTGGGCTGGTTTTGAGCAAAATTAAAACGGGACCTGGAGGCGGGGCAGTGTGTACATGGTGTGTACCAGGTGTGTACCATGTGTGTACTACCACAGTGTACTACTTAACAGGACTGTCAAAGAGCAAGTTTAATGTGTTCAGAGAATGTGTTTAATTGAGAAAAAAGAGAAAGTATAATTGAGAACGTAACGAAACGAACAGAACGGAAAAAATTCCGGTCAATATATAAAAGCATACAAATCAATCAAGGAGCGAACACTATAGCTTTTTTCGGGTTCTTGTTATTACCGATTCTGAACCGTCCTAGAACTCTGCAGCGCATGCGCAAATGAAATAATTACTTCATATTTCCTTCTGCGCATACGCATCACAGTTCTAGGACGGTTCAGAATCGGTAATAAGAAGAACCCGAACAAAGCTTATGCCGAACGGATTCCGTCAAATTATATTGTTTTTGCGACGCGTATCAAGTCTTCGAACTTAGTACTTACTAGTTGAAAAAATAATTTTATTTAATAAAAAATTTTAAATCTTCGTTAGATCGTCCAGTTGCCAAATATCTAAGAGTAGCAACGAGACGCTGTTCTGGCGAGATTGATTCTCGCATTTTTGTGTCTTTCTTTTTCAAATGTACTTCTACCATACTTAACAAATGTCTGAAAGTATCATTATCCATCCTTAAATAGTTACGAAAATCATATTTGGCTCATCTTGTTGAAGTTTTTTCAAGAGTAACATATGACCTAATTCATCTCTACGAGAAATCCATTTTTTCACCCACTTGCTTCGTTTTTTACTTTTTGTTTATTGGCGATAAATACATACGCCATGGCACAAACTATAGCGCGTCTTCTATGATCAGCTATGATTATTATTCATTTTTACAACTCACTGAGTACAAATATGCCGAATAAATCTAAGACCACTGGTTAAATCTTTCAGGACTTCCAAAAGATCGCCAGCCAGATCAAATCTGTTATAAAACGTCGAATTTTGTCTCATTAACAACACGATTTAATCAGGCAAATCTATTCGGGCAGCCAAATTCGAGCTCAAAAATGACGAGAGTTTTGGTATGTGCCGAGCCTAGTTCGCCGACACAATTCGGACGGATCAAATGGGTCCAACATGTTAATGTATTTAGCCCAGAGCCTATAGAGGCCGAGGTTCAACAAATTAGAGACAAGCTGAAATTTGGCATGGAGCTTCATTTTGTAGATCTTTAAACATCCTGAAACCCTAGCGATGAACCATTGAGCCCGTCACCCCAAAACCATCCCTACAAGGGGTAAAAATGGCCCTTTTTTTACTTTTTCTTCAATAACTTTAAAACTACGAATTTTAGGAGAAAAAATCACGAGTAAAAAATTGAAGAGAAGAAAATTTCCTACCACATAGAACATTTTTAGAATTTCAGTGGCGCAGGTGCGAATTCTTTAATTTAGGAGGATTGTTTTAATAACCCACCATTCTGTGTTTAACTTCAAATCAAAGCGTTTTTGAGATAAATCTCGAGACCAAAAAATTTATTAGGATACAAGTTCCTATAAAAACGATCTTTTTAATAAAGGTAATAAGTTACCAGTGGCCGAGATAATTTTTTTATATGTGCGTTTTTTACGTTTTAAGAACATTGAATAAGAAAAAATTGCTGTTTTACAAATAATTTCAAATGAAATAGGTATATTGAAGAATTTACACGTTTAATAACAAAATAAGAAAAACCTTAGCTCAAAAATAGGATAACTTATCTTAAGGATAGTCCTCATTCATTTCCACATGCCATAGAGCAGGTGAGTCCCATTCGCTTGCATGTACATGCTTTTTTACACCCTCCCGAAGAGCAATTGCAAAAATTTTTCTCTAAAACCCATGTATAGGAGTAATGGGCTGGTCTGAATGTATTGGATTCATCTCTCGACTTTTCATTTTCTAACCCCAATCTTGCGGTGGTAAATTGTTATTTAACCAAGCCTGTACCTGTAAGTTAAAAATGAGAATTTAGTTTAACATTTGAATGCAACATAAATTTAACTTACCTGATGAAAAACTCTAAGTCCATGATATTTCGCACTATTGGAGGTAGGTGGTAATGATGCCAACTTGAAGTTGGTATTAAGAGACTTCGCTTAGCTACGTACTGTTGATAAAGCATGTATCTGGCACTATCCAAACCTACTTTTTTTGTCGAGTTTTTAACATATGCTGCTATAAAAAACTGAGATGTAACTTCTTCTAACTTCTCCTTTGTAGCCTCGGGATTATAAAATTCTTTTAATAGCTCAAACAACTTTTTCTTCTGGACGGTGTTCACTAGATTAATCTTCCCTTTATTGAACACAGCAGACGTTGTGTCACAACCAGATATAGCGTGGACACTAAGAATCACATTCTTCAGATCCCCCAATTTTTGTTGTAAGGCTGATATGTCGATTATTTTATTTGGTTTTGACACCTTTCCCGGAGGAATCATAAACAGTCTCTTGTGGCAATAATGAATCAGTAACACTCTAATGTCCGTATCTTCGCTAACTACTGCTACGGTCCCTTCTGGTAAATTGTCACTTATTGCGACCGCTGTAGTTACAATAAGAGTATCGGCATCATCATCAGTCATCAGCGAATTTAACATTGGGCGCGTTCAGGGACGGTCAGCGGCTGAGTGGCTGAGTAAGCGGTTTCCCTAAACGGTCTCTTTTTACACGCAAAAACAGTCAGCCGCTGAGTAAAATACTCAGCGGTCGGTCAGCCGCTGTGTTCCCTGAATGCGCACATTGATTCCATTTTCCAACAATACTTTTCCGAGCGCACGAATGAAGTTGCTTTTGTTCGTGTTGTTTGACAAGAAATCTGCCTTTGGTATCAAAACAGATCTGAAAATATTGCAGGGTACAGGCTTGGTTAAATAACAATTTATCACCGCAAGATTGGGGTTGGAATCTGAAAAATCGAGAGATGAATCCAATACATTCAGACTAGCCCATTGCTCCTACATGGGTTTTAGAGAAAACATTTTGCAATTGCTCTTCGGGAGGTTGTAAAAAAGCATGTAAATGCAAGCGAATGGGACTCTCCTGCACTATGGCATGTGGTCAATGCAATGGCATTACATGTATGAACCCAACAAATGTGGAAACGAATGAGGATTATCCTTAAGATAAGTTATCCTATTTTTGAGCTAAGGTTTTTCTTATTTTGTTATTAAACGTGTAAATTCTTCAATATACCTATTTCATTTGAAATTATTTGTAAAACTGCCATTTTTCTGATTCAATGTTTTTAAAATGTAAAAAATGCACAATTAAAAAAATATCTCCGCCACTGGTAACTTATCTTTATTAAAAGATCGTTTTTATAAGAACTTGTATCCTAATAAATTTTTTGGTTTCGAGATTTATCTGAAAAATGCTTTCATTTGAAGTTAAACACAGAATGGTGGGTTATTAAAACCAATCCTCCTAAATTAAAGAATTTGCACCTGCGCCACTGAAACTCTAAAAATTTTGGTTCTTTACCTGTGTAGTAGGAAATTTTCTTCTCTTCAATTTTTCACTCTTGACTTTTTTTCTTAAAATTCGTAGTTTTAGAGTTATTGAAGAAAAAGTAAAAAAGGGCCATTTTTACCCCTTTTAGGGGTGGTTTTGGGGTGACGGGCTCAACGGTTCATCGCTGGGATTTCAGGATGTTTAAAGATCTACAAAATGAAGCTCCATGCAAAATTGCAGCTTGTCTCTAATTTGTTGAAGGTCACCCATGTAAAACGATGTATCGGCTCTGAGCTAATTGGGGGCTAATAAATTTCATTTAAATCGGACGATTTTTTGATTTGATCATTGATGAACTATGGGGTTTCATAGTGCACGAAACGTTGTCAAAATATGATGAAAAAAGATCTGCATTCCAAGTTTCAGGCTACTAGCGCGAGTTACTACGCTTCAAGATCGTGACCACTTTTCCTCTCGCGAACTCGTGTGTCACGGCCTTCGATTTTTACTCCTATTGCGCGTAAAGAGTTTTCACTTTAAAAAAGTGTTTATTTTTGTGAAGTGAAACTAAGTCCTCTAACAGACCAAGGAAGCACTTTTGTATAGAGGTAAATTGTGTCTAATAAACTTAATTTGGTTCCAAAAATATGTAATAATGTTATGTCCACGGAACATTGGGACACTCAAGGACCTGCATAACCTATATGGGATAAGGGACTGTATGTGCAGAGCATATATATATATATATATATATATATATATATATATATATATATATATATATATATATATATATATATATATATATATATATATATGTTATGTTGCAGAGATAGAAAGGGGATTAACTTTGGGGTTAAAAATAAGGGCAATAGGAATAGGCCTTATATAGGTTGCAGTATTTCCTGTACAGGACGGGTTCTTAATATTGAGACATAAAAGTTATAAAACTAACTACGTGAGAACTTACATACTAGATTAAAAATTAATAGAATACAGTTTTTAAATAATTTATTTATTACTAAACAACAAGACAACACATCTAGATAAAAACAAACAAATAACATTTAAAACAATTACATATTCATAATAATTTATATCCCAGGTGTCGAGATCAACACCGGGTAGCCCATATTTGGCAACAGGTGTCAGCCCAACACCGGTTTTAATCCGGCGGGCGTACCGGTTTTTGGAACAGTCCTAGTCGAGGACTCTTCAAAATACGAGAAGTTCGATAGCTGGATACTGAATTAAGCTGTGGTAAGCGTTAAAATTACCGTAAAAAAATACAAATAAATATTAAGATACCTTATAATTTATCTTAAGTTGTTCTTTATATGCTGTATGTATATATCATACGCTCCAAAAAAAAATGGCGTGGAAGTTAGCTTGCAAATGAAGATTGCTCGTAATTTATATGTTAAATTATAATACATGAATGTCATCGATCGTCATTTCCAAGCTAATTTTGTTATCTTCTATTTTATTTTTTTTATCATAGGGTATATGATGTAATATTAAAATTACGAGAATATTTTAATATAACATCACAGTACTTTCCAATGACATTAGAATAATATAATTTAATTATACATTCTTATTTATTATTAAGTTCCTTGATTTTTTTGTATCAAAATTTTTATTTATGGCACGCATTTAGTTTTTTTATTACACTCTTAATATTTACACACCTTGGTACACAACGTGTTAAGTGTATTTCTTTTCCATGATGATTTCCATGTATTACACTCATGCCTATTCCATTTAGAGAAATCCGTTTTCTAATTCAATGGAATTAGTATATTTGGTTTTGTTAACTTAATATGTATTATAACTTAAAATGTTACACTTCAGTTTTTGTTACATTTGCATCTGATCTATCCCAACCATGGTGTTCGTGATGGTCATGATGGTCATGGTGGTCTGGGGTCGGGAACCATTCTTGAATAATAACTGGTTTCCAAATTTCCTTCCAACCAGGAACCCAAATTTGTTTGTAATCCGGTATCCATATTTGTTTCCAAGCTTCCTTCCATTCCAGTTTTTTGTCAGGAATCCAGATTTGCTTCTTTTCAGTTCTCCATATTTGTTTCCAAGCCTCTTTCCAAACGAGTTTCTTATCAGAGACCCAAATTTGTTTCTTTTCCGTTCGCCATATTTGTTTCCATGCTTCCTTCCAAGCTAATTTCTTATCAGAGACCCAAATTTGTTTCTTTTCGGTTCTCCAAATTTGTTTCCAAGCTTCCTTCCATTCTAATTTCTTATCTTTAACCCATATTTGCTTTTTAGCTGGTTTCCAATACTTCTTCCATGCAGCTTTCCATACGATTTTCTTTTTCCAAATATCATGTGCAGTGTATTCACTTCCATCGTGATCTTTCCCTAAATAATGTTCACCATGAATTCCTTCTTTAACCCACACGGGGTACCAATATTTTTTCCATGCTGGTACTTGAATATCTTTCCATGCTGGAACGGAAATTTCTTTCCATACTGGTTTCCAAATTTTTTTCCAATCAGGAACTTGAATTTCCTTCCAAGCTGGAACTTGGATGTGTTTCCAAATTGGCTTCCAAATTTTCCTCCAATCAGGAACCTGAATTTCTTTCCATGCTGGAACTTGAATAGGTTTCCATATTGGTTTCCATATCTTTTTCCAGTCTGGAACTTGGATTTCTTTCCAAGCAGGTTTCTGGGTTGGTACCCAAATAGGTTTCCAATATTTTTTCCATTGAGGTTTCCATATCTTCTTTTGGGCTGGTTTCCATATCTTTTTCCAACCTTTTTTCCAAGTTACCTTCTTTTTCCAATATCCAGGATCGTGATGGTCATGATGGTCATGATGATCATGATGATCATGATGATCGTGATGATCGTGATGATCGTAGTGGTGGATATCATGGTGAACATCGTGGTGATCCTCAATGACATGTTGATGTTCAATGTCCGCAACGTGTTGACTTTCAACAACTCCACTTCCACCATATCCCGATGTGTCATCCCCTAGAACAATATTGTAGTTTAACTTTTTTAGACGTTATTCGTTTATAATAAGACATTTGCTAAACTTACTAAGGACTATAAATGTACAAGTTAGGGGTTATAGTGTAACAGATAATATTATCCAATGCAGACATACTTGCGAATCGGGTCAAATAATATCCTTACTAATATTATAAACGCGAAAGTTTATATCTCTGATTTATATGTATAGATATGTTTGTTACTTTTTCACGCAAACTGTTCAGTAGTTTGCGTGTTAAGTTGCGTTTGTGTTAGTTAGGGTTTTTAATGAATGAAACTTTACAATAATATAGCTTATACATCAGAATAACTACAAACTCAGTTTGTCGCGCACTCAGCAATGAGCTACTTACTTGACAGTCTTGACACTTATCGTTATATTTTGGACAATTAATACAATATCTTTATAAATTATAGCCTATGTGTCTATCTATCTATAAATCATAGGCTATAATTTATAAAGATATTGTATTAATTGTCCAAAATATAACGGTAAGTGTCAAGACTGTCAAGTAAGTAGCTCATTGCTGAGTGCGCGACAAACTGAGTTTGTAAGTATAGTTTTTCTGACGTCAATTTGAATAGATTGGGACTCTTAATTTTTGCACTGTCTTAGTCGGCACTTTTGTCGGCATCATCTGGACAAAGGAATTAAGATTCCCAGTACTTCCAATTGACTTATACGGAAATATTATACCCTATAAATTTTGATTACCTAGAGAGTGTCGAAATATATGTTTTTTACGGCATAAACGGCCGAATCTTTTTTTTACGTCAAATTGATTGAACAATTTGATTTTTGCACAGCTGTAGACCTGAGTATACGGTTTTAATTTCAACTGGATACTTCGATACCTCTACGACGCGTTCCCCAGATAATAAAGGGTCTTAACAGCCAGACTGACAACAAATAAGTGATATCCCATAAGAGCTCCGCTGCTCCGCTGCTCCGCTAAAAAGTGGTAAAATTACCGCAGTCTAGTTTGATATGGACATTTTAAAAATAAACTTATACAATATTAAAATGCAGTTTAAAAGATAACATGCGGTATTCGCAACAATTTGAAGCTGCCACGAAATTCTATAGATATTATTAGACTTATAAAGTAAACTGACCTATGTTTTGAATATTAAGTGTTTCGATGGAAACATGACTGGAAATATCGCCACCAAATGTGCCTCCACCAGAAGAACTAATTCCAGCGTCGTGCGGTTCTGTCAAGCCAACGGCAGGAACTGGATAGTCATATCCTACTCTCTTACCAATTATTCTAGAATGTATAATAATAATTTATTAAATATTTATAATGATTAGTATATTATTATTAAATTTTTGTCAAAGCCACACATATGGCATAATACCACTAATATCTGCTAAAACGTTAAAAATTTAGGAACACTTTAAATATAAAAATATACGTTTTGTTTAATTTTGCATCTCAAAAAGAAATAATACCTAGAGTCATACATTAAAAAAAATAGATATAGCATTATATTATTATGAACGTCAACGGTTTTTAATAGACGTATCTGTTGAAAAAAAACTAAAGTCTTCTTGAATAGTTTTATATAGATATTTTAAATAGAGTTTCTTTGTTCTTTGTGTTTTTTTTGCTTCCGACGACGGGAAGAGATATACTTCCAGAAACGAAAAGCATTTTTGTCCATTAGGCAAATTGGTTTGATTAGTAAAACACCGTCTGACAAGTGGATCTCCACTGGATTAATGCAGCGGTGTTTACAAGAAAATAACTATTTTATTTTGTAGATTTTCTTACAGTGCAAGTGACGAAATACCCAGAGCATTATAAATATTGTAATAGCCATAAAAATACCCTGTACAGCCTCTACACTATTTGCAAATAACTTGAAGTAGATCAAGGTCGAAGGTCGAGGAATATATTGAATTTCTTCGCTTAACTCTGCCTCGTCTCGGCTTATTTTCATTAACCGAGGAAACTCGACAGAACCTTCTTCACCATTCGACTTTGGCTTACTTTGACTTATTTCACGAGTAGTGTAGTTTAAGATAATGTAAGTTTTCCTTCACGGACTTATTCTGTTATACTTGGTCAGGAGAATATACATAGGTAACTATTAATAAAGTTAATTAAGTTTTTTGGGACACCAACAAAATAATTTTAGGATATGCACCTTTATAAACCATGCAACATTCTTAATCAACACTACAAAACTTTTTTTCCTATCTTTATTAACAACGATGAATTGGACTTTCTCGTACTAATGGGCCAACCTTTTCTATGAATAGGTAACTATAATATTATTAACGGTGTCATGTTAAAAATAAATCACAATAATCATACAAAAATTGTATATAATATACAGTTTAGTTTTTTTTATATGTAAATAATATATTATATATTATAAGAAGAAATTTTATTTATTTATTTTTACATATATTTTTTTTATTTTGATACGAAAAACAGATAATATATACTTAAGAGAACTTACTGAGCAGATGTCTTATTTTCTGTAGCTTCGCTCTGGTCTATGGCTTTTCCATATGTCCATGTACATTGCGTAGTTACCAGTAGTGTAACCTAAAACATTAATTAATATAAAGATTAATATAATAAGTCAATCTAATCATTTCAGTCACAAAAGTCAACATGTTTATTTTTTGTCAGTGATGTCAATGATGACGTATTGATAATTTATATTCCAAATATCGCGAGATCGGTTATTCGTAGCAATTTGTATGTGTATATTTTTTCACTCAGTAGGCAGGTGTGAACAGTTAAAAATTTAAAAAAATATGTAGATGTAGAAATGAAATTGTTGGAGAAAACAGATTTCATCCTAAATTACAGTTTACTACACAGTACAATAAGATTATTTTGCAACAACTTTGGTTAGATGGCGCTACATGATCTGAAATTAATATTTTTATTTATGACAGACATGAGGTCACGTGATGATGTAGTTGGTTAATTATTCAGTAGAGTAGTAAAAACATGGCGTTAAGTTGATGGCTTGTTGCCAATTTATTAATGTATTTTTCAAGTTAATCATTAAAGTTTAATAATAAAATCTTCGTGTTTTCATAATAATAACGACAGAAATGAAACTTCTACACCCTCTATCTCCGAAACGAAACATTTTAGGATATACATTTATACGAACTTCTTTACTTATTTTTATCTGTATCTTTTTGTCTTATCTGAGTATTCTGCCGAAGTTTCCCGAATACATTCGGACCACTCTGTATTAGAAACCTTTTAAAAATATTTATTTAGTTTAATTTTTTAAGCTCATCTTTCTTTATTAAATATTAATTAGGGTAATCGGTTATGTTAAATCAGTTATTTTATTACAGATTCTATCAATCCTGATTACAATTTTTATATTAAACTTCCACCGTTGCTTCCACTAATAAATTTTAATTAAGTAATATATTTTCGGTAACAAATTATTTAAATATTTTTTGATATAACAGTAGGTAATATGAATTCTCTAATCGTAATTCTTATTATAACAGCTAAACGGATAAGGAATATGACGAAATTTACAATACTAATGTTAGTTTCACTTTCATTCGCTGCAGAATTTGGTTAAGGGAGTGTTTCAAACAGAAATTGGAAAGTCACCTTGATTTTATCATGTGTTACAGTTGCGTAAGGAAGGGAAAATTATTTTTATACCCAAGGGTATAGTGACCACCTACCGGCGGGTAGGTAATTAACATTTGGGTATACCGGGTGCGTCTCAAAAGTGGCTCACCCCTATAACTTTTTTATTTTTTTAGATAAATAAACGAGATTTGGTATGTTAGTATATGACATAAATTAGGATTGATTGGTGTATTCAATTGTTTTTGGTCACTTCCTGTTTCACCGGAAATGACTACAACTTTTGATTTTTAATAAATGGCACCCTCGGTATTTTTTACTTTATTCGATAGAAAATGACATTCTGAATAGAATGACATATCATATGTCAACTTTTGACATTCTCAATTAATCAAAAATTGTATTTTAAAATTCAATCTAGAGTGCCATGGCTATGTTAAAAACACTAATTCTTCATCAAGGAGCCTTGGAAAAATAGATTTGATCGTCTAATTATTTTAGTGTCTTGTCCTGGCCAGTTAGAAAATGCTTAAATCGTATTTTTAATCATATCTCAATTTTTTCAAATGGAACGAGAGTGGCTCGTTAGCATATTTGGAAAAAACATTTTTTTACGAATAATTTGATACCACACACTTGGTATTTCAAGTCAAATTTTCGTTACGAACCGCAAGTTATAATTTCAAATAAGCCATATGCGAAAATGTCAAAAGTTGACATATGACATGTCATTCTATTCAGAGTGACATTGTCTATCGAATAAAGTAACAAAATACCGGGGGTGTCATTTAAAAATCAAAAGTTGTAGTCATTTCCGGTGAAACCGGAAGTGACCGAAAACAATTGAATACATCAATCAATCCTACTTTATGTCATATACTAACATACCAAATCTCGTTTTTTAACTAAAAAAATAAAAAAGTTATAGGGGTGAGTCACTTTTGAGACGCACGTATACCTGGCATATACCCAGAAGGCATGCGGTATACACCCATTGAGAAATATTGTAGATATATACCAAGCGGCAAACGGCACTTCCGAAAATACCGGAAGTTGACAGCAACTCTCTTGTTTTAAATGGGTACCCCTATTTTTTATTACATACTTAAATTCTCTGCGATATATTATGAATTTTAATATTAAACACTCTATGTATATCTAACATTAACCGTTTTTGAGAAAAAAATATTTAAAATTTGTGGACGATAAAAACTGCCTGTCGAAAAAAATTGTATAATCTAAACGTCAAATTTAGTTCCAAAATTTAAATTTTCGAATGTCATACAATATTGTCCGTAGCTGTCATGGAATTGAGCGATTAAAAATTATCATAATTCATTTTTTTTTCAAGAAATGAAAACCCACTTTTTTATTTCACTAGTAAAATGGTTTTTGAGCTCGTTACTTTTTGATTGTATATTATACATGTTCCTATACTTAAAATAAATGGTTTTTAAGTTATTTAAGATTTAGTTTTAAAGGGTATATTTTCATTGATTTTAACCAATCAAGTGATGTAAAACATTAATACTAAGGGCTGGCAACGGTTAGTCTTGGGTCGAGATTTCCGTATGTAAGAAGAGTACAATGCGTTTATAATGTACTGAACAAAGAGAGGACAGTAAACACGTTGCCAAACGTATGAAATAAACCGAGAAACTGTGCACATCGCTAAGAGACGTGGAAGGGGATATAGCAGATTTGTCGCAGTTGACCGGTAGACCCAATCAATACCTCTTACCTCTGTCTGTGCCTCTGTCAGTACTTAAAGTTCTAGGAAAAGGTGTACGTCATGCGTTCAGCTTCACGATTTAATTACGTCTCGTGATACTTGATTTGTTTATTTATTAACGAGTCGTTGTAATTTTCCCTATAGCTTGAATTTTTTTAAGTGCAAGCTAGAAACACTTGCATTTTTGGTAAAAATAAGTGGAATTGAGTGGGTGTTCGATAGTGGTCGCGCTATTAGAACTCTGAATTCAAAAATCGATATCTCGAAATCTATTAGAAATAATAGATTGTAGTTTTTTCACGAACTTTGTTAATATTTCTGCTGTATTTTCTTTGTAGACAGTATTTGAAAATCTTTATCAATAAAAAAATTACACGATTGCTGAAAATTGCTATGCTCTAAAAGTAAATGGATGGATTGTTTAAAATTTTTGAATGGAAAAAACAACCTTATCGAATTTTTCTTATGTAAACATATTGTAAAATATCGGATCTTGAAAATAAAAAAAGTTTCAATATCTAAAGTGGTTCTTGAGTTATGGCCTGTTATGTGTTAGAAAGTTGAGTTTTTAAATTATCGCGATTACTGCCGCTTTCTCATTATAAAAAAATGCCACCCTAACGATATCCTTATAATTCCATTTCAGATGCTCAGAAACATGTCTAATGATTTTATCTCGTTATCTCTTGAAAGAAAAGTCTTTTAAAAATAAGCGGTTTGCGATCGTGATTTTACTTTACTTGATTGCGTATCGGCAACGCCACAACAGCACACCGTCGCGCGTCGCGTCGGTCCGTCGCATTTCTCTCACTCCGACTTAATAAGATTCCTATGCGATTTACTTCCACACATGTAAATGCCGACCCAAAAGTAACAGTTGCCAGCACGGTATATCAGGCCATGTCATATAGTGACACATTGTTAAAAATTCAGTATGTCATCGATCGTCATTTCAAGCCAACTTTGGCGCTGTTTTCTTTCAATCATAGGATATATTTTATTATACGTGTACTTGTGAAACATTGATCACAAGTACCATTTGATCGAAAAAAAAACAACGTCAACGACCGCTATGAAATGAAGATCGCTGTCATTGTATATGGGGAATTTATTTACATCGATGTTCATTTCTAAGTCACCTGGACGCCGTTTTTTTTTCGATCATACGGTATATGCGAGCAGGGCCGTTCCCTGGCGAGCGTGCAGTGCGTGCACGCACGTAGGCGCAACATTTTGGGGGCGCAAAATCAAAGGGTCAATGAGTACTTTGTAACAAAAAACCGATACGCTTTCTTGCCAATAAACTAATACTTAAACCATCATAGGATAAAGTTTGCTTAGCGTCTTTTTTGCGTTGGCCTCACCAAATAAACAAGTCTAGGGCAATCTGTCGGCAACACATTGATCTCATCTATTTATTTTTCATTTTATTCATTTTATGGAAAGCACAGTTCATTAAAATGTTGTATCCTATCTTATAGGGCTTGTTTCTCTCTACAATTTCCTGTCTCACAATGTATTGTTTGTGTCGGGGAAGGGATCATAGTTTCATAGTTGTCGATTTTCGAAAGAAATCAGTACACGTGTATTATTTCCGAATTTTAGTTTATTGTTTTTATGTATTTCTTATAAAATGGGTCAGTTTTTTCCTTTAGGGTACTATTTTTGTTACTAAATATTTGTGGTTTTGTTTGCTTTATTTATTTAATAAATGTTTTTATACTTTAATTAGGATAGTCTTTTTTTACATTTCCAATTACATATTGCTCGTTTGTCGCAAAATATAAATTCTTTAAATTTTTGAGAATAAGATTAAAATATATAATTAATTTAAATATAAAAAGGGCGCACCAAAGAATGCTGCACGTAGGCGCCAGATACCCCAGGAACGGGCCTGTATGCGAGAGGTACCCTACGCTCTGTACAGAGTGTAGCACTGGAAGAAGAAACTACGGTATATTATTAATATCAATTATTAGATATTACCCCCCCTTGATTAGGGATGACCTCTTGATTATATATAAACAAGTACGAAAATACGAGATTTATTTTTATAAATACACTTTATAAAGTCTTAAACTCTTTTCTGACAGAAGGAAATAAATAGATAAATAGTCTGATTGTGGCGATACTTAATGTCAAAGGAATAAGCTACAAAAGATCCAGAAAATCATAATAAAAAAATAAAATAAAAAATTAAATTTACATATCAATATTCCTGTATATGCAATATATTTGATATTGATCCGTAAATGGGAGTAACATGTTAATGGCAAGTTCATTAAACGCCCAGTATAGCGACACTTTCTCTTTTCTACCTATGAACTTGAGCTTGAATCATCAAGTCAGACATAACATTACATATTAGCGTAAAATAAAACGTGAATGGAAAATTTTACATATATTTTTTGTTTATCAAAAGATCGATCTAACTAAATAACTATATAATACAATATCAATTTAGTTATGCAAACTTAGCAGTTTGCCACAATTGTGAGCTTTCAGTGGTGAAATATCATGTTTAGTTAGAGAAAGGCAGGAGATATTTAATAACATTAAGTATAATTAAAAAAAATAATGATTAAATTAATTTAATATTATACCGGGTGTTCCTCTAAGAATAGGTTTCGGTTGTGTCTTGGTATGTATTAGCCGTATAGTCTGCTGAAAAAAATTATTTATAACTAAAGAGGTCATGAGAAATTGCTGGATATTATTTTCAAGTTTGTAGAATGGCCACTAGAGGGCCCAACTGCTATGGCAAATAAGAAAATTAAATTTTAACAAAATTTTGCCTAGGTAAGGGGTACTATAAATAATAGCGTCATAATCTTAAGTAAATTTCTTTTTTTGTTTGAACAATTTTGTCGGATCTCACAAAATAAAGTGGTGGGGGAATATGATGTGTGATGAGATGTGTTTTTATTTAAATATTTTTAATAACTCCTAACTGGGTAATCGGAATCTAACAAACTGGGGCTCGTTTAAAAGTGTATTCCTTACTCTATGTTATATGTTATAAACAATAATAATGATATAATATAAGATTTAACAGTACACGCTAGGGGGTGCTGTCTTATAACAAATATTCCGCTATTTTTCAAAAAAATTAAACTCGATAGCATATGTAATTTTAGCTGATAGAAAAGAGGAATAAAAGCTAACAATTACAGCTAAAACCGCATATGTTGGTATTTTTTTCAAACTGGAAGATATTTAGCAAAAATATAATAAATAAGAAACAATAATAAGCCCTTAACTACCTTATTTTTATAATAGAAACGATTAATTTATTCTGATAACGATAATATACGAGAATATAATAATATACCAGATGTATTAATATGTAATAATTAGGATGCCAATGATAGTCATGGTAAACTTCGGAAAAGTTGCTTTTGAAGTATTTTGAAGTAACAGGTTAAACGTCTTAACATGTATTTCAGCAAAATATTTTAAACTACAGCATGGCTCAAAAAAGTGTAAATAGATCGGAATGGCTTATTTAATATGAAACACCTTGTATATTATTGCATTTTTAGCTTCCTTTCTGACCACTTTACATAATGCTAATATTATTAAATTTGTTTTGATTGTGTCAGAAGTATTAATAACTAAATAAATATATATTCATAATCATTTATTATATAACTTTAATTCTGAAAAAGAAATTTTTGGAAAAGTACGTTATTATATTAAGAAAGAAATTATATGCTAATATATATTTTTAAACCTAATCCCAATGCTAATAAAAAAATTCCTGCCCTGTCAAATTGCAAATCCAAATACAAACTCGAAACGGAAGTTGTTTCTATTTATTTTCTAACGAGCGCAATAATTTTTAACACATATGTTCTTATAAACATTTACAGTAAACAACTTTCTTTTTCAACTAGCTTTATTTATTAGGCGGTAAACAAGAAAAAACGGTAGGTAACTTTGTTTAATGATGGCGAAAAAAATTTCTATTTCTACCACCGATACAAACAACGCAAATTAGTTCTATGATTGAGTCATTTATATGATTTAGATGAAACAGTAAGTGTGGGTTTATATACATTCGTAATGTGTCGTTTGTCGTTCCGTCAATCCAATCTTATCTAAATATGAGCTGTAATTTTCATCAAATTGCATAAAATCAACGACGGACACTAATAATGTAATTATTATTTATTGATATATGATTATGTATTTTAATTCTTACTGTATTAATATAAGCTTATATCGTCTTGGTTACGCTAATCATAAATAGAATCATAACTCCCTTGAGACATTATTCACGAGAATTATGATACCATAATGCATAATTCCCTCTCCAACCTTTTATAGGTAACAATCATGAAATGCAATAAAGATTTTGAATAATAATATAAAATGAACATTATCTATAACTACTCTAATAATTTATTTATTAAAATAATTTTCTGTGCCAGCCACTGAAGGTATTTTTTAATATTCCTTTTGGTAAATGGATTTACTTTTAGATGGAAGTAATGCTTGTCGTGCTTCTTCAGCTTTTTCAATGTTTCCTCCATTTTAATGGAAATGTACCCAAACATGTGCCGAATGCGTGCGAAAGGCGTTTTCTTGTTAAAAAAGTGAACTCGATTGACAACAACCGTCATATTATATACAGGTCATTTGATACAATAGTAATCTAGCAACAAAGTATTCCTACCACCAGCGTAACAAAATATACCGGAAGATTAATAAATGCCATATTTGTGTCGTTTTAAAATGGGACAAAATATACTAAATTCAGTAAAATATAAAATTATCTATGTACCATTCGAATTATAAAGTGTTAATAACCTCGGGCAATTATTGTCCGTCGGGCCATAGGCCCTCGGGACAGAAATTTTGTCCTCGGTACTTAACACCCGTATAATTCCCTTGATACATAAATAACTATAACAATAATTTAAAAGTATAGTTTTAAATGGTGTACTATTTATACCGTATGATCGAAAAAAACGGCGTCCAGTTGGCTTGGAAATGACGATCGATGAGATTAGAGATGGCTATGAAATTAAGATCGCTGTCATTTTATATGTAAATTTATATGGAAAATGTCATCGATTGTCATTTCATAGCCATCGCTGACGGCGTTTTTATTCGATCATACGGTACCTACATATGAAATGACAACGATCTTCATTTCAAAGCCATTGCCGCATTCATCTGGCGCCGGTTTTTTCGATCATATTGTATTTCATGATCGAAATTTTTGTCTATGTTGGTGTTACAGTAAACAATAAAAGCAAAAATTCTATAGTCTCTTTGTAGAAAAAAGAATCTAAACTCAAACATATTCCCGCTAGGGTTAACTTCCGGTACTTCCGGAACTCAGCACTCAAATTCCCGGTGCTTTCGGGACTCAGTAACAATAATTAAAAAAATTATTTTTTGTTACGTACGAAAGTCTATTGATACATAAGTCTTCTAAATAAATAGTGATATGCTATTTTTTATTGTTCTTGCTTCTTTTCTTTCTGAAGTTGCTATAATGTTTATTAGCAATTATTTTTTGAAACTTAAATATCATATTTTTTAATTAGTATAATGTCGTTCAATGTATTATTTATACGACACGATAAAAAACGGCGTCAAAGACGGCTGCGGAATGACAATTGATGATAATTTTGTCGATCTCTAGCCGTCATTTACTGGACCCGCACTCTGCTTTATTTTTTAACTGCGTTTTTATTTTTTAAACATTCTGTACCATCCACATACGTAATTTTAATTTTTTCACATAAATAATTTTTGAAATAACTTGCACATACAGGGCGAGTCTTAAATAAATGCAAGTATTTTAGGGGTAGTATATTTCGACCCCAGAAACACATCTGTGAAGTTTTTTTCGCAGAAAAGACCCGGTGGTTCTCAAAATTTAACCGAAAAATCTTTTTTTCTTTATTTTTAATAAAGTACAAGAACTCGCGGTTATATGGACTTTTTTGAAAAACGGTAGTAACGAAAAGAAAATTATGTCGTTTCTTTTGTCGAGGTCTACTAGCCCTGAAAATATGTGCACTTATTTAAGACTCACCCTGAGAAAGATTAAAAAAAAATAGAACGTTCCCAGAAACACAAATCTATTTCCAAAAAAAATTCTAGAATTTTAAACTACACCATTTAAAAATCATTTTTACTCATTATAAGAAATACAACCTTCTTAAAACCAACTGACAGTAAGCGCCACTAAAAAATAGAGTACGGGCCAAATAAATAACTTCTAGGGCTTGACCTCGCTAAAATTATCATCGATTGTTATTCCTCAGCCGTCTTTGAAGCCGTTTTTTTCGATAGTATGGTACATACGTCTGTGTGGCATCACGTTAAAGCTTACGCACGATAGTGGTTAAGGGTTAAGTTTCGAACTTTTAAACTAATATCGAGGGTAGTATAAAAACACAAAAGCACTAACCACTAGGTACAGGTGGACAATCATGGTCTGGCAACCAATAACACCAATGAACGGGTGCTTTACGGCGAAGAAAAACTAAACACTAACCAATTATATGCCGACGGGTACTATATTATATAGGCTTCGAGAAACGAAAAGATGTTGGTGGTGTTTCCCATAGTGGAGGCTTTCACTTTCCCCGAATGATAGCTTCAAGAACAAGTGATGCAACTGAAGATTAAAACATAAGGTCGCGAAGAAAGTACGGATTTGCAAACGCTCTGATAATATTGCTACGGCCGTTTACGTTTACTGTTTTTATAAACATGCCTACATATAAGTCTATATAAAAGTTTCCTACAAACAAAAATTTCTTCCGATGCATATATTCCTTTTAATTATTGATTGACAATTGATTGTTAAAAAACAATAAACATTTAATTTTCAGGTTGATGAATATATTTTTCTAGCTACTAAAGTACTAAAGTAAAAAAGTACAAAAGTAGAATATTTTCATAATAAGCATGTTTACTGTAAACATCGAACTTCTAGAAAAAATAATTATTTAGAACCTATAACCAAATTTGAATAACAGTGCTTCACATATGTACAGGGTGCCCCGTTTTCGTGTGTTTTACAGGTTCTCTGGAGAGTAGAGGTACAAAGATGCGGTTTTTACATCACTTATGAAACTAGAGATTCTACACAATGACATACTCTATACCTATTTTCATAAACAAGGTAAAAAATCCATTATTTTACATTTTTACATAGGCGGTCGGTTTAAAATAGGCACTCAAAACAATTGAATAATTTATTTGACGTCAAATTTTGGTTATTGACTATTCCACGCTAGTTTCTGATATTATACCGTATGATCGAAAAAAAACGGCATCCAGTTGGCTTGGAAATGACGATCGATAACATTTCCCCATATAAAATGACAGCGATCGTCATTTCATAGCCATCGCTGACGCCGTTTTCTTTTCGATCTTATCGTATTAGTATTAATATTTATATTATATTAGTACTAATAACTACTCTGATTGACAGCGTGTTATATTAAAGTGCATACAATTATTTTATTTTTCAACAGATCTGTTCATATTATAAGGCATACCTTTAGGGCATAATGTAGAGTTCAGTGGCGGCTCGTGACCCTTGTGACTGGGTAGGCGACAAAATTTTAGTTGTGTCTATTTGCCCCCCCCCCCTAATTTACATAATACCCTAACCCAGTTTGTAAATATACTAAGGGTCGGCATTTCTAGTCTTGGGTGCCGGTTTTCATGTGTACGAAGAGTACGGTCAACACGCTTAGTAAAATAAGATGTACTGAATAAAGACAGAAGGCGAGTATTTTTCAAAGCGCATGGAATCTAGCGTCAGTTTAAAGCAAGTAATATGAATCTAGGTAGTGGTTTATATGTGATCTGTTAAACATATTTTTCGACTTTTTTTATTAACTTTATCGAATCGCTTCCCCATGTATAAATTTTTACCGCACGCCACTAATAACGACTCGCTCCTATACATGTAAACGCTGATCCAAAGGTTCGCTTGCCAGCAGGGTATGTTATCTCTGGGTTAAAAACATAGCTCAAGAATATTTAGGACAAAACCTTGGCAAAACTAAAGCAAAAATAACAGCATGATAACAGCGTTCAACTTAATGACATAATGATTAACATAATGTACAGTCGTAATGAGTCACTATGGAGTACATCAAAGAACTTTATTTTATTTTTATTTATTTACGCAAACTTAAAAATTGGTAGTATTGACAGAAAGAATAATTATGTTTTATATATTAAATTGATGATCGGTCGGTCTCTTAATAAAGAAAAGTTATTTATTATTGTATCAGTAAAATCATCAGATTGTTGAAGAGCTGTGAAAAGATCTTTTTAGAATGAAAGTAAGGCAAGTGACGATAAACGTTTATTTTTCATGGAATCTCTACTATAAATTTTAAAGCATTTCAAACATGAAAAATGTCTCTCAACCCAAGTACTTGTAAATGGTGTAGTAACAAACAAAAGAAACAATTTGAAAGTCTCTGGAAATGTAGTTCCAGGATTATTCTCCTTAAATTATTTTATAATCGAAATTATCATATCTATTATTAATACCTGCAATTTATTCATTAATTTATGTTAGTCAATAATATATTTTGTTTCTTAAATCACTATTAAATGCGTTGGAAATGTATCAATATAACAAGTTTGTTAAATCAGATGTTAAATGCGTTAAATTTTTTTGATAGGATTCTTTAAATTTCGGATCCGCAAGAGATAAATATTTAATCTTTAATTTTAATTTTATTTTATTTTGTCTCAATTATTAAAAATAATTGAGACTTACGAGTACCTATCTGCAAACCTTATTTCTAAATGTATAACAATGTTATCTAATATTTCATAAAATAAAATTCGCAAAGATATTTCTTATAGGCTTAGCCGCTTTTATTAACATATCGAATTGAAATAGCACACTGAGACTTTTCTGTAATATCTGTTGCATCGTCTTCTTGCCGAATAAAATAACGCGCTTTTTTATTTCGGATTCTTTTATTTCTGTGGCGTGTTCTGAAATACAACCGGTTATATCATTTTGAATAATCTCGGACAAGCCTAAAAATATTTCCAATTTGCTTTAAACGTTTTTTGAATTTTCATTAAAAGTATTAAATGCTACGATAATGAATCATATGAAATATTCTCTTAACGAAATGTGATATGTCCCCTTATGAAATATCGGGAATATCCCTTTAATTTCTAAGCCTACCGAGCCACGACTTCATGCGAAGGCGACCGGAGATTTCGCCTAAGCTCCGCCTTAATACGATACAACTCCGACTTCCGTCGCGTGGCTACCGCACGATGAGTTAGATAGAGACAGAAGACTGCCGTATGTCGTGCATCGACTCTGATAGTAGGCGATGCAGAAATCGCCGAACAAAGGCACTCCAATAACGCAACGGTCAAAATTATTTTGTTTTCTAACGCAGCGGCACAGTCAGCGTACGCCAGCGATAGTGAATATTTTAATAGACAAGACCACAAATATTAAAATAATATTGATTATTAAAACACACTTCCGTGTATTAACAGTATTTTTATGTATTGGCAACATAATAATACCCAGATAGCACATTTACGTTCTTTTCATATGCGAAGCAAGTGACTTTGGAGAACAACAATGTTCTATTCACATTCCTTTTTTTCATTGGGAACATATATGGCACATGAATAGCAGAGATTACGTTCCACCCTATTCAAGTGATATAGAAGTGCGTTTCACATTCCAAGATATATTCTATGAACGTGAATTATATATTCCAATTATATGATATTCATGTTTTTAATATTCTATATTTATGCTTTTCATATGTTTTTCATATTTTTTTATTATCTACAGAGGCAAAATAAAACACTAATTTACCACAATACACCAAAACACTTTACTTTTGCACAGGACGCGCGTTTCGCTAACCATGTTAGCATCATCAGCAGATGGTCAAAATTTAAGTTTTAATCATCTGCTGATGACGCTAAGATGATTAACCAAACAAGCGTCCAGTTCAAAAGTAAAGTGTTTTGGTATATTGTGGTAAATTAGTGTTTTAATTTGCTGTTGTAACACCAAAGATTCCAACCCTCAACTCTGTATCTACTGGGTGTCCTGTATAAGGATGCTCTGTATCAATATCCTATAAACTATAGATATAGATACAATTTTTTTCATATTTAGCAATTTTTATATCTCTTAAAATCTATAGGATACCTATACAGTACATTCATATCTGGAACACACTACAAACAATTTGCTGAAATTAAATAATTTGGTGTGTAATAATCAAAAATTAACTAATAAATAGAACGGTTAAAAATAATAGGTAAGAATAAAGACGAACTTGAGTAATATATGTTTATTAATTAAAAATATTTTAATATAACGATATACATCGATATTATCTTCTATGTCTATGTTTCTATATTCTCTTGTCTACCCTTCTGAAATAATATCAGCAGAATTATACTGTTCAAATAAATTTGCACAACTTACCTTGGTATTTTTTAATCTTTCTTTGTTTTTACAAGCCATATTTTAATTATATTGATAATTTCGGTTTCTTTTTGGACTCTTGAAATTGACCTTTCATGGAGTCTAAAATATATGTTATTACAGTCTTTGCAACACCAAATATCTTTAAGTTCAAATACCTAAAATTGCTTTTGGCCAATAACAATGATTTCAAACTTCTCTTCTGTTTGGCCCCATCCCAAGAATATTTTTGTGCAATTTCATTGCCCAGAACCTTATAAAGCATTTTCCTTGTACTTTGTGCTACTCCTGAATCACCAAGTCTAGATAATTCTCGAACCTAATAATTCTAAAAAATACCTTTCTCTTAAAAAATACACAATAAATGATTATAGAAGAGCCTACAGAAATACCTATATAAATACTATATTGTAAGAAATTTCAGCACTGGAACTACACTTATCAGAACAGAAATCTTCAATGATACTACCAGAGATACTACTACCACCTACTACTTTGATGATGTACAGAGGATAATAAAAAATCACTTTGGTCTGAATCCAGTTTAATGTACAATATTGAAGTCATATTTGCGTAACATTGACTTAATAAGATTTTGGCACCTTTTTTTTGGTTGAATTTTAAAATATTTTTTAGTATAACCTATTTTTTTTCGAGGTCTCATGGTTTTAAATTCACTCACCTTAAAATAGATACTGAAAACACAAACATAACAAGAACTATTTTACCGATTCTATCCTTAAAATAATTATTTGCATCACTTATCTTTACGTTATCTCAGTGTTTTAATTGTTAAAATAGTTTGGATGAAGCACGTTTACGTTTATAGGTGGTTTATAGGTTTATAGCATAAAGTAACTAAAATAAAAGAGTGTTTGAAAGGTTGTCTAACTTGGCCATAATGTTGCATAGTTCAGTTAGGGCTCCAAAGCGTCGCCACCTGCTACCTGTCACGTGTCATTACAAGAATGACAAGTGACATGACAGCAAATTATTTGTATTTTGCAATTGTTTACAATTTTGTTTTGAATTTTAGAATTTTGTTATTATTTTGTGTAGCATAAACTTTGTTTGTTTTGTGTTGTGCGTACAGAAATTATGGACGAAGTTTTATTTCCCGAGGAACGAGAGACCTTATATTTCTCTATGATTTGAACTTTATATTTTGTGCTGTGTTTTGCCATCATCATGTAATATTTTGTTCAGCCGATGATGTGATTTGAACACGATCCAGGAAAGGGTATCATGGAAAGCAAGTTCGATATGTAAAGACATTGCCCATCTCTGAACTCTGTGAACGTAAAACGAACTGACTATAAATTTGCGCCTTCATTTAATAGTGTTGAACATTTGCTACATCAACTGAACTTCAACTGCTGACTGCTGAGTTTATAAATCCAACTTAAAGGTGAATTAATTTTTGATGATATCTTATTTAAATCTTTATCTGTTATAATAGCATAGATTGCAAACCCTGCGATCTTATATGCTTTGTTAGTGGCGTTGTTAAATACGTTTTATAATACTATAGGTAAATCGAAGGGTAAATCGCTGGTGTATTTTGGTGGTGTACAAGATGTTGGCATTTTCGTGGCATTATTGGTATTAGTACTAAATTATTTGGCATTACCTTGGCATTAGTGTACAGAAATTCATCAGGAGTTTACCCCTCGAAGTTAATTCAGCATATATGTTTTATATTATCAAATTTAATTTAGCATTTAACTGTAAGCATTTGAAAAGTCTACAATAGTTTATACTTTTCAAATATTCCGTTTTTAAAAATAAACTTTCGTTATATTTTTGCAGTTTTAATTTCGTAATATTTTAAAAAATACATAAAATTTTATATTCATATTTAAACAGCCCGCCTTTTTTGTGGTAGGCAATGCAGATACCTATTTTACCGATAAGGTCTGTCATATTTCGATTAGTTCAGTTAGGGCTCAAGGGTGCGCTACAATCGATCCTCGTTAAACGTGTTGCCTACTTTTGACTATGGAAATGACAACTCTTTTATTTTATATTTCTCTATGGTTTATAGTTCACTTGTTGTTTTTTTATTAGGTTATGTTATGGATGTACGATTCGAATCGATTTCAGTCGAAGATCGATCTTTTTACCCAAAAAATCGATTAAAATCTATCGAGTTTTATCAAACTATCTTTTGGTATAATCGATCTTTTTATTTCATAATGGAAGATCGTTTTTATTTATACAGTTTTACAGGTTTATTTATTTGTTAGAATAAGAAACACTGTATTTTTGCTTGAATATTTGTTTACAGGGCATCTATATACACTAATATATAAAATCCCTAATTATTTAATACACAAAAATTTAATAGTAACTGATAGTAAGAAAATATACAAATATAATGTATTGTATTCATTTTTTCATTTCGAAATCATTTTTATTCTCCTGTATTTTTATTCAGATATTGATATGTTTAGAACGTGAATAGCAGATACTTAAAATTTATTGTAAACCATAATTTAAGAAGACATTCTAAGGTCATGCTGATAACATACCTTTAAATCACATTCGTAGTAGAATGTACTATTCATATGCCATACTTATTAAAAAAAGAATATACTTATAAGAACTTAGGAGGAATATTCTTAGAATGTAAATGTTCCTTTTGTGCTATCTGGGATAATAATAGCTCCCGTATATAGCGTTTAACGCCTTGGGAGTAGCAAGGTACAGCTTGCTATACTAGAGCGGTTCGGTATACAAGAATGTATACCGAACTGTATGTATTGGCAACATTAATAGTAAATAGTAAATAATTAATGTAATAAACCGCTTAAATTCTGCCAAAATTTTAGGGTAGGCGCCGCCTACCTTGCCTACCCTGACGAGCCGCCACTGGTAGAGTTCTACTTAAGCAGCCACAATCATTTCTCTCATGTTGTCAAAAATAGCTGGTCTGGGATACAGCCATTTATTGACACAGAAAATATCTAGGAACATCTTTGTTTGAGGGGTAGGCTATTTACTTCAGATGGTCTATACTTACTTTGCTATAAATACCGTAATTTTAAATCATACAAGGTGTTCAAAATTCTGCGTCAAACTTTCTAAAATAATTTTTCTTCGTATTCTTAAACCGAGATTTTTTATTAGATGGAGAATTAAAAAATGGCCATTTTTTGTGTTTAGATAGTTTAGAGATTAGTTCTGTTATCTGTGATTTAGAGTTAAAAACACAAAAAGGAAGAAAAAATATTTTATATTTTAGAAAGTTTGGCGTAGGATTTTGAACATCCTGTTTGATTTAAGATTACGATATTTATAGCAAAGTAAGTATACTCGTAGACCATTTAAAGTAAATACCTAATAGTTTTGATTTTAGGACAGTTCTTGTATTTTTAATAATTTTTTAAGAAATATATTTACTCATATCTTAGGATTATGTAAAGTGATCTGAAAGGCAGGCAAAAATGCAGTAATGTACAGGGTGTTCCATTTTAAAAAAATCATCCCGATCCACTCACACTCTTTTGAGCCACCCTGTAGAAGTTAAAATATTTTCCTGGAATACATCCTAATACATAGCATATAGGTCTGCACTTATACATAATTCCTAAGTTTTTTATTATAGGAGCTACAGATGCCCGACGCACTATATTACCGGACCCTGTATAATACGTGCAGTTCGAAACAGTGCAAAGTACTTGGCAAATATACCATTTTTGTAAGCAATAATAGAAAGCTTGGCGCACAGACGACGCGATAAGTGACAAATAATTGCACAAGTAAACCACTCACACAACATGGGAAATACATGCCAATAACAAATGTTTGCCAAGTTCACGAGTCGTTTGAGCTAAGGGCTTAAGTCTAGACCAGTCCAATCTCTTATATTTTTCAGCCACGAGTGCTTGCGTCTCCTAACTCCTTTTCTGCCTTCTATCTCCTGTTCGTTAATTAATTTCAGCAGCTTATCAGAGGGGTTAGCATATTAGCAATAATATATAGGAAGTCCCGCATCCCAAATTCAATAAATGTTCAAGGTATTATACTCGAAACTCCAAATGATATTGTCAATGAATTTGCATCATATTACGTCCCGCCATCGCCACCGTCACATCGAGCCGCCCACGCCGCGCCGGCAGCTGCCGGCCTCCACGATAAATATTTTTAAATGGCCAGCAGTGAACATATTCACACCTTAGAGTAAGATTCACACTACCCTTAACGTCGCCGGAGCCGTCCCGTCGTGGCAACGTCCATCTCCCATTTACTTCACATGTTATTATATGTCGAGACGGCGGCGGCGCGGCGGCTCGACGTGCCGGGACGTTATAGCACAGTTTAAAGAATATATAATATATATTTTATATTCTTTAAACTGTGGTTATAGTCTATAGTGAGAATCACGCCCTAAAAAGCATATTCTACAATACTTTTTATCGGCCCTCTCTAAAATAAATTCCGTCCTGGCTGTCACCATCGGAGAGTACCGTAAACAACAGACTTAAACAAATACACGGATTTAAATAGCGAAAATACGAAAAATGTTATATTATTTAAAAAATATTAGTAATTTTTATATATAAATGTTTCACCCCTCCCCTATTTTCACCCCTTAAGAACAGAATTTTCAAAAATCACAACTTAGTGCTTAATAACGTTATTTTAAAAACCTGTAAGTAAATATTCATGTTTCTAGACAAGATATTACATTTTTTTAACAAAATTGCCGAATTCTCCTTTAATGGATGTTTTCCGCCGAAATGACCGAATTCTCTCCTAGATGGATTTCCGAAAATCGCTTTTGAGTGCTTTATGGTTACGTAACTCAGCAAAACTTTGTACAAAATGTTATGCTTTTAGACCATCAGTTATTAACGAAAGTGTTATACAAATATTTATATTTAATTGTACCCCACCCTAGAGGATGAATTTCCAAAAGTCGCTTTATAGAGACCGAGAGCTGGCTACATAAAAAAACCTTATCATCTTTACATGGCTAATTTTTTGTGTGAAGTATCCTTTTGTGTAGCCATTGTGAAATAGTCATGTCTGCCAGCGCGATCTCGGGGCTTAAAGCGGGGGCGGCCAATCGAAAGGGTGAAATTTTGACACTAAAAATATTATAAGGTACACGAGTTATAATTGCGGAAATAGCTTTTATTTATTATTAAGAATCGTGTAAAATTGTTGACAGACATTTTTCTCGTGGCTGAAATGCCGGCAGACAACGCGAAAGAGGCATAGAATTTTGACAAAAGGAAATCATCGCATACATGCATGTCGGTTGGTGGAATGTCATGTTTATTGTTAATTAATTTAAAAAGCCGTATGCGAAAGGGCAGACAAAAATATCGTTAATGAAATAATAAAAAAATATATTTATGATATAATTGTATATTATATGATTTATCTATACTTAAATGGATGAGGCGGCGAGCGTTCCCTGAAAGCGCTAGAGTAATATCGCGCTTTTGATAACTGTCTGCAGCTGATTGAGCCACGATCTTTTTGTCTGCCCTTTTGCATACGGCTTTTAAAATAAATAAATATGACATTTCACCAATCGGCATGCAAAAATATAATTTTTTTCATTCTTCAAATTTAATTTTTTAATAATTTTTAAAATTTCATGCCTGTTTCGCGTTGTCTGTCGGCATTTTAGCGACTGAAAAAATGTCTGCCAACAATTTTCCACGTTTCTTAATAATAAGTAAAAGCAGCAGCGATAAGAAAGAGCCAGTAGTTACGTTTCATAGGTAAATAAACAGTCCGCTCCACCTTTTTGCCGTTTTCTTATTGAATTCAATAATTATTTTTCTGCTATTATATGTAATTGATGTGTGCTATACGTCGATACTAGTTTTGTACCTTTTGTTAACATTTTAATATGTTTTTTTTTCGTAATTAATTAGTATGATACCAAAGATGATACCATAAGGATGCCATCGTATACACCATAGGCGTAGTCAAAATATTTATCAAAAAATATAAATATCTCAACAAACAGCTAGGTTAAGAAAAATATGTGCTACGGCACTGTTTGGTGACATGGTGGATTATAATGAGTGTGACAGAATTAGACAGAATAATATAAATGACCGGTTGACAGACAGAGAGACAAAACAAAAAGCGGCATACAGTGTTGCCGGTTTTTTACGTTTGTAGGAAAATGTGTGTAGAAAAATATAGAGCTATTTTAAAAACTTTCATGTATACTACTGAAATGATGATAATATATCTAAACTAAATATAATCTATTACAGCTGTAGTAAAATGAGTAACTAATAGTGAAAGATAAAGTTCCAACTCTAAATATAACATTTTTCGTAAACGCCTACTTGTGCGGTTTGAAAGCAAAATCCGGCAATACCGCATAGAAGAAATGTGTCGACATTCTGTTTTTTTAAAAATAAAAAATAATTTTAAAAAGCACATTTTTTGAATAAAACGTTTACATGAATTTCTCTATCAATAAATTTCATCGACTTGGTTATCAAACCGTGTTCCCGTAGATTACTTAATACCTAAAAATTTTCTAAAAAAAAATTAACACTAAAACACAACAAAATATTATTAACTAAACAAAACTAGAAAACGTCATTTTTACTGCATCACAAGCAATTAAAAATTAATGCGTAACCAAGAGTCATAATTCAGGATTTATCTGGGGGTGCACAGCAGTACCGGGGGGGGTCCGGCACCCCTGTAGTTACGCCAATGTGTGTCGACCCAATTTTTATCTCTTTTTAATACATTTGATTTTCCATTAAGCTGTCTACATCACTGTCGTACACGTTAAAATCCAGACCGCACAATTTCGATGTCCAGATCGGTATATTCTGTGACTAGGTACTATTTTTATTTGAATTTGAAGCACATTGCAGTGTTGCCATGCCATTTTTTATTTACTGAAACTTTGGTTAAAAACAGTATGTCGGAAAAGAGATTATATTATTACAACCTGGAGTGAATTTAACTTTATTAATACTTAGCTTTATTTTTCTAAACATTAAGCATAACAGAATAATGCCCACTTGCACCGTTTGTATAAACTTTGTTTAAAAGCTAAACAGTCATTAACTATAATGAAATATTATATAGCTAATCACTGTTTAGCCTTTAAACAAAGTTTATACAAACGGTGCAAGTGGGCATAAATCCGTGAAAGAAAACACATTATTTCATATAGGGTTTTTTTACGACGTAGACAACTATCTCAGTTCCTCTAAATGCAACACCCTGTATGTTCTTTCTTTTAGATGCAGAATTAAAAAACGAAGTTTTTTTGTATTTATCATATTATGGCTCTTTCAATAGTAAAATATAAGGCAAAATATACACCATTAGGTAGCTTTAAAAGTTAGTTTCAAAATAAAACAATTCTCTCTGCTAAAAAACATTTCATTATTTACAAGTTCTTACATGAATATTATTTAACTAAACCTAACTTTTTCGCTTCTACTTCATAAATTAATAACCTCCACATTTTTACAACAAATACTTCTGCTTCCTCATCCAATACCTAAAAAAAATATATTTTAGAAGAAAGAAAAGCACAATAAATTCATCTACCATTTGTACATCCTCTAGAATCGTTTGAGGTAGTGAACCCGCTAATACTTTGTTACAAATGAAATCGACTAATGTAGGCTCTGGTTCACCAATATACTCAATAATCTTTTTGTTTATCCATGGTCGAATCTTCTTTTCCATTAGGTGATTATCTATTTGAGCCCAATCTAACTTATAAGTAAACAACGCCTCTTTTTCCGTTGGTATCCTTTCAATAAGAGTCTTAATGTGTTTCCGTTTTTCTTCCTGAGATTTCGACTCTTCAGCTTTCTTCTCGTTATTTTCTTTCTCTTTCCGAGACTTATCTTTTTTATCTTCATTATAATCTAGAAATACCAATTTTTAAATTTTATTTACAAACCAAAGTTATTTATATGCTATCATATGAAGCGGCTCAAGATTCGTTTAGCTAAAATCAGTTATGTAAGAAATATTAGTTTATTTAGAAGCATTTCCAAGGTCACGAAAATTTTTCTGGGGAGATGCGCAATTTTCGGTTTTTCAACTGCATTTCAAAAAATAAAAAAGACCTTCAGATTTGACCAATAATATAACTATTGAAATAAAGAGGCATATGAAGATGAGTGCATATGAAGAAATATCAATGCCATCTCAAAAATAGGGTTATTTAGTTTATATTAGGTTGCATAGTTTGCTATGACGAAGATAAAAAACAGGGCTTTAAATTAAATCCCCCTATATTAATTTATGTTAGCAAAAAACTAATATCCAATCCATCCTTGATGGAGAGAATTCTATCACCATTACTAAATTTAATTCGTTATAAAATAAGTACGTGTTGTAAGAAATCTGTTTTATCAGCAATTATTACCATGTACTGTTCTATAAACATACAATGAAATAAATACCTAAAGGAACTAATTTTCGTTTCTTCACCTGAATAGAAGTATCATCTTCATCTGGATTAAAGACATCTCGTAGATCTATTTTCTTCCTCTTAGAGTCACCTTGATGTCTATTCTAGAAATATTAAAATAATCATATAGATTTAATAATACATAATATAAGAACAGTTATTTTGATTTCTTGTTGTGGTGGGTATAATGGAGATAATTCCACTATAAGCTTGGTGTATTCTCCTATGGCGCTGTATACCGACTTATACCAGTACTCGAGCTTAAATAGCGATTACACGAAAAAATTGTCATATTATTTGAACATGATTAGAAGGTGCAGATCGAGAAAATTAAAAAAAATAATAAATAAAATGGTAAAACTTTTGATATCATCATAAAAATTTATTTTTCAAGCTAATAAAACTTTTTAGCAAGCATAGTTTTATGCACCGGTTTTGCTAGTGATTACATAATAATTACAATGGCATATAATTATAATTTTAGAAGTTTATAAAAAAAAATTAAACACTAGTTCATTTAAAAAAGTCTAGGCATTAAAATTAGATTTTATCCTCTATGTAGTATATGTATATGCCTATTTATTTTTTGATTATGTAATGGGCACTTTGTTTACTCACCTGTTTTGTCGAACTGCCTGATTCATTTTTTGCATAGAAATCTACAAAATGTTATTCCGGGATTGTTTTTCATGTTATTGAACCCAACAACCACGCAATTACGCCCTCGTGTTAACATATTTTCGGCAATTTTATTATCATTTGAAATTGTTACAACACAACGCGACGCCCATTCGTTATTTTTCACTTAATTTTTACTACCCGAAAAAAGTGTTAATAATTACGCAAACTCCATACCTGAGAAGTTTGTAGTTTCAATAACTGCACTAGTAAAAACCGAAATACTTAAATATTATGACCTTAATCCACAATCTCAATATTATTTCAATGCGATCAACATGAACAGTAATCGGAACAGCTTGAAATAAAGTAGCCGGACAGTTCTGATTTCTGCCTTACCGAGCGGTACTATCGGAATTTTAAAGCAATGTCAAAATGGTTGAAATACACCAAGCCTATAGGAATTTATAATAAACCTACCACAGACCATAAAGACGATTAATTTGTAATACTAACTAATAAAGCTAATATAACTAATAATATCCAGACAGTACTTTGAAATGAAAACTAGGAATGGTATTTTACCACATAAATAGAACAGTTAAGAAATATTTTTATAAAACTCAACTAGAATTTAGAATCCAGGTGTTCAATAGTTTTGATATTGATTATTTAATGAAAATATGGTTGAAAAATTCAAGCATATTTTCATGTTTTTTTATTTTTTTACATGGTAAGCAAATTTGAAAAAGTATAAATGGAATTAACCAAAATGCTTAATTTATACTACCTGTTGAGTAGGAGAATGTGAGCTATTAAATGCTATTGGCTTGGATAAAGTGATTTTCATCCCAGTTCCAGCTGATAAATTTTGAACAGGCTGCTCGGCCGTTGAAGAAAACGACTCTTTGGAATCCTCATCAGGAGGTTGGACTTCAGTCCACTGAAAAAAAATTACTATAAAATTCGGCTATATCTTTTAATATCTTACATTACAGTAAAATTTGACTAGGCTAATTACCAAACTGTGCATTTTATTAATCATACCTACTAGTATACATCTAAAACTAATTTTACCTGTGCTGATTCACTATTCTCATCATTTGACATGATCTCATCCTGTTCAATAGCTACTGGACTATAATGGTTGGTATCCATATCACTATCACTATCTATAGGTTCAGCCTCAACAGCAGCAAGTTCTTGAGCTGCCTGTGCAACAATATATCTATAAAATATAAGTAGGTTTACAAATATTTCAATATTTATTAACATATCTAGAAATAGTTTTATATTGGAAAATATATTTTCTATATTATAGTGTCACAGATAAAGTTCGCATCATATTTTTTGTTTGTGCTTTGATTTGGCAACTGAGTAAATTCTCTTAAGTCATTTTTAATCTAACTCAAAGCAAAAATTAACGCCCAAGTCAAATTTTACCTAAGCCAATAAATAAAAAAAAGTTCAAAATGATCCAGATTTTCTGTGACACTGATTCTATTGATTAATAAATCAAAATTAGTGCTGAAATACTTACTTTTCCCTTTCTTCTTTATGCCTTCTATCTCGTTCAATTTCCCTATGTCGCTCTCTTTCTCTAGCTTTCTGTCTTTCAAATTCTCTTTCCTTTTCTCGCTCTTTTTGTTTCCAATGTTCTAAATTGACATCGATTAATAATTTGGGTTTATATTGTTCCTCTCGTTCCTTTTTTGCCTAAAAAATGAATTAAAATAAAAACATTATATTTACATATCTTTATATTTCATTCTAAATTTGTGGTCTGTATTTTAATGAGTATATTATGTGACGATCCTGTATCTAAAGAATTACAAAAAACATGCGTATAAGCGATACCAAATAAATTTTTAGTTACTTAATCGAGGGCGCGATTACTAAATTCATTGGAATTATAATAATAATTTATTTCCAGAACAAAAATTACAAAATAATAATAATATATTGTAACTCCTAGAGAGATAAATAAATTATCTGTGTGTAGGGCTGGATGTACCGATACAATAATCAATAAACTACTAATACATAATAACAATAATTAATACTAACCTAACCTAGTGTGCCAAACATGACTACAAATGAATACAGCGTGTTGCTGTATTCACTTGTCATATGACTCATGAACCATAAAAAGCACAAAAAAAATTTCTATAACATAATAATTATCTTTCAAATCAAACATTAATTCTAAACCAATTTTTTATTTTAGTTTTAAGATTATGTTTTGACGCTGTTAGTGATTTTAACTCATTTGGTAACCTATTAAATAATTTTATTGCTGTATTATAATTATTTTTATTGCTTACTCTTTTAATCATTTTGGGCAACGGTATACTTTTGTTTCTTGTTATAGTTTCTGATTAAAAATATATTGATCAAAAATATATTGTTTTAAGACTATTGCAGTGATAAATTAAAGATTCTAAAGAAAAAAGTTGTTCTCAATTAAGTGGTAAGTTTGTTGTAAATAGAGTGTGTTTTTTACCTTAAACTTAACATTTTTGACAATAAGACCTTGTAGTCGAAAATTTAGAAACTACCGTATGATCGAAAAAAAACGGCGTCCAGTTGACTTGGAAATGACGATCGATGACATTTCCCATATAATTTTACATATAAAATGACAGCGATCTTCATTTCATAGCCATCGTTGACGCCGTTTTTATTCGATCATACGGTATATTTCAAATTATATTAAAATAATTACTTTTTCAAATACTTCATTTGGATCCTCATGTTCTTCAGAAAATATTCTTTTCCGCAGTTCTTCCATCTCTTCCTTTTCTTTTAATCGATCTTTTGTGTCTGATTCAGCTTCTTTCAATCTTTCTGCCACTCTTCGCTGTAATTCTCTTCCCCTATAAAGAAATCAAATATATTAAAATATGTATAGAGTCCCCTATTTTCGCTGATACAAAAGTAAACTGGTGCAACTTTTAGCAACCTCAAAAATCAATCAGAGTTATTGATATTTTTGACACATTTGTGCAATAATTCTAAACACAGAAACTAGCGTGAAATATTCAATAACCAAAATTTGACGTCTAATAAATTATTTCATTGTTTTGATTACTTAATTTAAACCGGCTGCCTATGTTATAAAGTTAAATAATGCATTTTTTTATCTTATTTATGAAAACAAGTATAGAGTATACTACATTTTTAGAAAGCTCGATAAGATATTCAAATTAAAAAGTTTCATCTATTATAAAAATATGATCTTACTTGTAGTATTTAACGTCATCACGCTCATCATCATAATCCTCTAGAAATTCCTTTAACCTTTTCGCATCCCGCTCGCGCTCCTCTTCTTTAAGTCGTTCCTTTTCTCTTTCTTTTTCGTATTCCTTAAACTTGCGCCTTTCCCTTGTTTCCCAGGCCCTATAATTAAAAAAATTAAGCTCAAATTACTCACACAGTCTTGTATTATTTTGATAACATAAATTAATCTAAAATTAACGTTCTTTAATATTTATGTTCCAATCTTTTAGCGTTAAACTTTGGCGTTAAAGTATACATATTGTTTGTTCAGCGACCGTTCAACGTCAGGTCATTTTATTGTCGAACTCTCTCTATCACTTAACAACCAGATGAAACAGATTGGTTACATTATTACGGCATTTCATAAATTACTACACGTTGTTTATAGTAATTGTCATTGGCATTTTATTTGTGGTTATAATTTTATTGACGGACATTGATCAGTGTCAAAATTAAAATTTGATTGGGCTGTCAAACAATTTTTAATTCTGACTATTTGATTTTAAAATTTAAATTCCATTTTTTAGTACTACAATGCGTTGGCGATTTGCGAAACTGAACAAGTTCTCATCGCAAAGTTTATTACTTATTTTACGCCAGAAACTGGTAAAACACTTTTGCCTGTCGAAGTAATTACAATGCAGAGTCTTATATTAACACAAATTAACTTTGTTTTTAAATAATATAGTGTTGCTGATGCTCTGAAAATAGGCATTTCTTTTACAGTTTAAGAGGTACGAGTATATTTAATTATTTTAGGCATATTGACCTAGAGTATCGAAGTGTATTTTATTGTATAGAATCTCAAGTTTTTTCATAAGTTTATTTTTAAAATAGGTATGACTTATCTGAAAAGTTGTATATGTGCCTAAAATTATAAATTGAAAGACAATCAAAATGAATAAAGGCCTAATACACCTACATGAATTGGATAAAAACGGAACTCAATTAATAATTTCAGAACATACAGTACGTCTGTCCGTTCTGTAGCTACGGGGTATCCGTGAGAGGGGAAACGATATTCTCTCAATGTTTTTCGTAAAAAATTAGACGACGCGTCCCATCAATAAAAATTCGACAAATTTGCAAGTGACCAATAAAATGAGTGGGCGGAGCGATTTAAGGTGACGTACTCGTCAAGTCGACATATAAAATATATTGCTGTTTATTTAAATGTTTTTGTCCGCATTCCTTTCATAGACACAGATCCAGAAGACGTACTGTACTTAAAATTTTCTAAATATGAAATGATCGCTGAATTTCTAAATGAGATTCAGAAAATTTAAAGTATGTAAAGTAAGTATGTAACAGTAAATAAATTTAAGTGTATAATTTAAAGCACGGATTATACAGATTATAAACTTATCGTCAAAAGCATTGTTTTTCGTGGTTCCAATTTTCGGTTTGGTTTCAATTTCTAAAATTGTGCACAGCGCCTGACCGGCCTTGTGACCGGCCCAGTTATTACGCTGTTTAAACGGGAGTTTATTTTTGCGCAAAAGAAAATTTACTCGTTTGCTCATCGCCATAAAAACAATTTTCGTACCCCGAATTAGGGACAAGATATTTATCTGTATACTTATAGGATACCTAATCTGTGTTTAAAGTATAAAATAATGAAAAAAATACCTTAGACGTTCTTGGTATGCAGCCTCCTTTTCTCTAGCTCTTCGTTCACATTTTTTCTTCTCCTTCATTTCTTCTTCGACTTCTTTCTCTCGAAGCAATTCTTTAGTACTTAGTTTCTCGGCCCTTTCCCTATCGCGATCCCTGTCACGCTCTCTGTCGCGTTCCCTTTCCCTTTCCCGTTCGCGTTCGCGTTCGCGTTCCCTTTCTTTTTCACGTTCTCGCTCTCGTTCCCTCTCTTTCTCTTTTTCCCGTTCCCTATCCTGCTCACGTGCTTTTTCATGAGTTCTGAAACATTGACAGTTTAAATAATTTAGACACAAATGGAAGTTATTTTTAATAAAGTGCCTGCATTCCAGTAGACTAAAAAAATAAACTAGTCAAAAAGTATAGGCTTGGTGCGTACTCCGCCAGTGCTGCCACCATCAGAGAATACCGTAAACAACCGTTTAAATAGCGAGTACACGAAAGATTTGTTATAGAATTGTACTAAAAGATTTAGGTTGGTTGGTATAATTTGTAAAAATTCTAAATTTCTAAAAAAATTATATTGTTAGGTCTACCTTGTATTATAATACCTATATTATTCAAGCCAACGATACTTTTTAGATGAGAGGCTTTTAGATGATTTGGGCTGAGATTGGATGAGTACAGCAAGGCAAACCCTGTGATATCGAAAACAGGAAATAACCATCTTATCCGATCAGCAGCACTAATAGTGATCAACTCAGTAACCATAAATTCGAAGTTGGCCAAAGAATGCCTAGAGAAGCCAAACAAATTAGGTGGTCAAAGAATGCTCAGAAAAGCTGAACAAATTAGCCAAAGGAAATAAAGTCCTCCTGCTCTGGATGCCCGCTCATCAAGGGACAGAAGGCAATGGACAAGCAAACGTTCCAGCTAGTTTCATCAGCAAGAGGCGTTTATCAGCAAGATGAAATAAGTGCCACATCTGCAAGTTGATCTGTGGTTTTACGCATCGGTTTTGCTAGTGGGGACATAACTGAGGTCTCTGGACTGTAACAAATGTTTTGAAGGTACATAATTATAAGTTTAGATGTTCATAAAAAATTTAAGCACTAACTAATTTGAAACCATCACAACATGACGCGTTTCCCAGTTTGAGATTTTTTCACTTAATTTTTACTACCCGAAACAGCGTTACATCATACACACTTCGTACCTGAGAATTTCAGTTTCCATAATGAGACTATTAAAAACTAAAAAACTTAAATATACGACAAAACCACGATTTTAATATTAATTCAATGCGATCAACATGAACGGTAATCGAGGCTGCGTGAAATACACAGCCTGAAAGTTCTGATTTCTGCCGTACCGAGCGCCGCTGTCTAAATTTTAAATCAGTTGATACGCACCAAGCCTACAGATATATGTAAAGGAAAAGGCAAGAAAAGTTTCATACAGTTTTCTCTTTGAGAGATTATTTTTAATATACCTTGACCTGGAACGTTTGCGTCTTTTATCATCTTTTTCTTTACGCTTTGGACTGGGTGAATGAGAATTAGAGCGGTCCTTCTCGCGAGTCTTTTCCCTTTCTTCCTTCTTTTTTCTTACTTCTTTTTCTTCTTCCTGTTTCTGCAAAAAGAAAAAAAAATAAAATAAGAAAGCTCTATAAAAAATGAAAAGCTAAAATAATGCTCAGAAATATGACTTCAACACTAAAGAGTTGTTATAAGCCAACAGTACTTTGTTGGAATTACGTTAAAAATGCCAACATAATGCAGGCAATTCCATCTCTATATTTATCAATGCAGATGATAGTTAAGAATCCAGAATTGTTCACTTACAGGCCAGAACTATATTATTAGAAAAGAGGTATATACAGGGTGGCCCATTAGTGCGAGTAAGTCGAATATCGTCGTCGTCGTCCAAGAAATGAAAAAAAGGTTTATACAGGTGTTGCATAGTTTACAAAGGGGTATATCCTAAAATATTTTGTTGTATACAGGGTGTTCCCCCAAATTAGATGAATTCAAAAAACTGCTGATATTTTAATGATTTCATTTGATTTGTAGAGCATAATCAATAACAAATCTAACTTAGTGTTTTATCTTGTTCATCTCAGTGCTTAAAAAATATATTACTTACTTTCATAATTTCCCTAAATTTCCCAATTTCTCTTGTTATTAAATCACGCTTTTCCTCTTCAACTTCAGCATCAGCAAGAACTTTATTCCAGGTATGCATAATCTCTCCTATACCAAACATGATTTAAAATATATTAGTGTTTCAAAAAAATCGACTATTTGTGTTCGTATTTATATAGTGAAAATATTGGAAATGACGAAAAAAAACGGAATCGGAAATTTACATTTTCCATTTGATTAACATGGGATTTTTTCGCAACTCTGGAATTTTTGACCTTTGGAAGACACCTCTGAGATCTTTTCATTCTCTATAAGTTATCAATAACAGTTTTTGATGTTTTGTACAGGTTGTAAGTTGTCAGGTTAAAAATCTAAGATTCACATAATATAATTTTAAGCAATAAAATTAGGAGTATTTGCAAATAACTTACAAGCTGTACAAAATATCAAAAACGTTTATAGAGATAACTTATAGAGAATGAAAAACTCTACAAAAAGGACCCTATAAAGTTTTCCAATTAAGTTTGCTTTTAATTAACATCAAAATATTGAAAAAATGTTAAAATTTATCATGAACCCCCCTCGAATAACTTTGGAATCAATATATAAAAAAATTATAAGATACCTTTTTTGTAGACCGTTCAATTCTCTACAAGAATATGTTTCGATAAAATAACCTGAAAACTCGTTAAAGAGAAAAAATTCCAAAGTTAAAAAAAAAACTTGAAAATAGAAATTTCCGATGCGGCACTTCTTAATATTAATATTAAGAGCTCAAACTATCACAGTATTTTTTTCGTCATTTCCAAAAACATTTTCGATATAATTAAGAAAAATAATAGGCAATTTATTTTTAAATAGCCTAATTCATAAGAATGAAAATAAATTACCTTCTTTTTTGTATTCGAAACTATTCATCTCATCCTGATAATCCGCCAAAATTTGTTTTATCCTCTCCCTAACCAAAACATCGAGTTGTTGAGTTTCTTCATCCAACTCTTCTTCTTCAGGTTCGTCTTGCAATGGAGATGACCTTTGTCTTTTCCGTCTCTCAGCTTAAATCAGTGAATATTAAAATGCAATAAATCATCAAAATAAAAATTATAAAACTTATAAGCTGTGGCAAAAACTTACAGTTGTTGGGATCTCTTGTGACATAATTAGATTACTTTACCTCAATTTTGCACCTGTGAAATTTACAAAACTATTCATATCCCTATAGTTCGATAGGTGACTGACTATTCACCAAATTTGCCTCTCATTGCCTAGTCTGTTTTAATATTCTTACCTTTATATTCATCTAAAACGGCTTGTGTTTTTGCATCTACTTTTGCAACTAATCGTTTGTCACCAACCATTAAATCATGTAATAATCTGACTGCTCGTAGACCCGCATCAGGTCCTGCAAGTTCACAGAAACCGAAAGCTTTAACTTTTTTCCAACTTATGACTTGACCACAAGCGGCTAATATTTGCCTAATCATAGCATCTGGAGCCTTTTCCGTAATGTTTCCTAAAATTTATTACACTTGGTTATTTCATCAGTAATAGCTATTTTGTTATGCTTATCTTCTACCTATCTGTCTATACAGGGTTGCTCATTATTGCGAGGAAGTTCAATATCGTCGTCGTCGAACGCTATTTTTATTTCCAGCACAATGCGGTGTTGCCATTGTATTTCATATCTCTTAAAACTTTGGTTTAAAACACTATATCCAAAAAGTGGTTAAAAAATAGAGGGAATTTACCTTTTATTAATACTTAGCTATATTTTCCTAAACACCAAGGATAACAGAATAAACCAGGGAAGGGGGGGGGGGATTTACATTACCTTGATACAGGACAATTTTTATGGCGTCGTCAATATCGCAATATTTAAAATGCTATATCACTTTTTTTTAATTGCAATACCTTATATGCTATTTTTCTTCTAGATGCAGAATAGAAAAATAAACATTTCTTTATGTAAATGTTTAACAGTTTTCTCAAATATTCACGGTATCATATTACACATATGGCTCTTTCAACACTAAATTGTTATCAAAGCCCCGTAATAAATAATCTTTGTCTAGTATTTTACCATTGGAAACCTCATAAGTAATATAAACAGCAAATATCTGCAAAATTATTAAAAATTTAGGAACACTTTAAATACCAAAAATGTTCGTTTCTTAATTCTACATTCAATATAGCAGAGAGATAGCATTTTAAATATTGCAATTTTGACGCCACAAAAAATACCCTGTATAGGATAATGTAAATTTTGCTACAGGGATTTATTCTGTTATCCTTGGTGTTTAGAAAAATATAGCTAATTAATAATAAAGCTAAATTCACAGATATAGATACACTAATTTTTGAGATATAGTGTTGTAACCAAAGTTTCAATAAAGAAGTAATAGAACTACAACACCGCATAATGCATCTAATGGAAATAGTGTACTATATGCAGAATTTTATGCTAAATCCAATTATTTACAAAAAATGGAGGAGGGGGTGCAATTTAAAAAAAAAACTTCATAAATTTTTTTTTAGGAACAACAATTTTTTAACAAAATATTTTTAGAATATGTATCATTATAAACCATGCTATATCTGTATAAAACTTTCTCTTATCATTGTTAACAACGACGATATTAGACTTCCTCGCACTAATGGGCCACCCTGTATATAAAATTCAATGCTCATTGACACAGGTATCAATACACAGCCGAAACCGCTTGACATAGAAGCACGAAATTTGGCATATACATATGTTCAGTGATTGTACAGCACTAAGAAGGGATTTTTGTAAAAAGGGGTTGAAATTAGGTATGCAAGATTGCATAACAATTTATTAAAATGTGTTCTGGGACTATGACTTTTTTCACGGAGGCTCCTTGGTTGACGTAACTGAGCAAAAGGGCAATTTTTGGAAAAAGTGTTCGCTCTTCAAGGGGGCGCAGTGGCGCATCTAGTAATTGAGTCTGGGAGGGGTAGTGGAGATATTCAAAAAAGTACTATACTTGAATTAAATCTTTGCTTGAAGGTATTGTGACTGTGGAAAAAAATCTACTTGAATTTGTTTAAATTTTTTATTTTGATTGGAATTATTAACTTTTTTGTAACAATTTTATTTTATACCCCATTTTATCCTATTAACAAATTCCTTTCTGGGAGGGGTAATTACCACCATTACCCTATGTATATGCACCCCTGAGGGGGTGAAATGAGAGGTGAATGTTGTGTACAAAAAAAAAAAATAAAATGTCTTATAAGTATGACATGTTGCACAGAGGTTCCTTAAGTAGCACAATTGAAGAGTTAAAAGTGATTTTCAGAAATTCTCCTTGGAATTATGTATATATTTTTTTTTAAAATTAGTCCTAGGAGTGTGAAATTTTTTGCGGTTCCTTAAGTAACGAAAGTGAGCACTCAGAAGCAAATTTCGACATTCATTCAATAAAAGGGTGAAATAAGGGGTAAAAGTAAAAAAATATAATGACGGTACCATTTAAAAATCAAAAGTTGTAGTAATTTCTGGTTGAACAGGAAGTGACTGAAACTAATTGAATACATCATTCAATCCCGAATTGTCATATACTGACACACCAAATTTCGTTTTTTATCTGACAAATTAAAAAGTTATAGGGTTAAGCCACTTCTGAAAAACGCCTGGTATTTTGTAAACTATCTGCAAAGTATCCAAACTAGCAGCTATTTTCATAAACTGACATAAAATCCTTATTTTACCAGACTTTTGTAAATAGCTTGCAAACTCACAAGTTAGAATGTAAACTAACTGGTGGACGTCTGCTATTTTACAAGAATGGGCGGATTCCTTCAAAATAACAATTAACATATACAATAAATACTTACCAACAAATACTGTAACAGCTGGACCCTCCAATTTTTTCTGTTCATTTCTATTAGGATTTAGTTTTGGGAAACCTCTTATTTGTGTTGCTCCAGAAACTTGTATAGGCACCATTTGCTAAATTAAATATTATTTTAAAATAAAACAATAGATCATAAATCAACTTACGTGTTGAATTGGCATTACAGAGGGCATAAGAGGTGGCGGAGGGCCACTAATAGGCATGGCATACATTGATAAGCCTTGCATTATCGGAGGACGTCCAGGATAAGACATTTGTAAAATATGTTAATCAAATTTTAAAGCAACGCAATCTTTCGTACTAATTTTAAATATTAAAAAAATATATACAGTTGACACCTTTTGTTCATAAATGATTAAATATAAGTTAATATAATTTAGTAGAATATAAACAATTTAAACAAAATACACAATACGAAAGACATGACAAATTTTTAAAACCACCATTTTGTGTCCTTAACAATATATTAACTGGGGATAGCGTGGATACACTGTTGTTAGCTGCGATAAAATTTAGCAAGAAAATATTTATGTAATTATGATATATATTTCGTTAAATTAAATATAAACTGAAAACCTTTGGAATAGTTAACAGAATTATTTTTCAACGCTTTTCAAGCTATATTTTCATTATGACAATAACGACGTTTGACAATTATGACATAGAACACGCATCACAGGACAGGGTTGTGCCTCTTGCGCCTTAAAAAATTTCGATTGTGCATACGGCAACCCCAAGATTCTGCATATTCAGTTGAAAACGTGCATCTGTGGTAATTTAACTTGTAAAGTTCGAACAAAACCGAGGGTTGATGGTTGATTTTTCTACATGGAAAGCTGAGTAATACCGAAAGCTGTATGATGGCCATCTGAAGACAGATTGATAAAATCATGATAAAATCATACGAATAAAAAGATTTTATAATTCATTATATTCCATTGTAACCTCAAACCATTGATATTTGAAAGTTACATACACTACACTATCTACGTCAAGTGACTTTTTAAGTGTAACATGTAATTTTCTGAACCCTGCTAACCAGGGTTCGGAAAACTACATGTTACTTTTAAAAACTACATCAAGTACATTACATGTAGTTAATGTAGTTTATGTAGATGGTGTAGTTTATGTAACCTATGTATGTAACTTTCAAATATCAAAGGTTGGAGGTGAGGTTATAATAAGTTGAAGCTTTAGAAAACACATAATGTATTTAAGAAAACAGAAGAAATATGGTTTTAAATATAATATTCACATCATATTATTTAGACCCCTCATACAAAGAAAAATTATTTATAATATCAATACGTAGTTTATTAAACGTAGTTTTTATGTAGTTAATGAACGGGAAAAGACGTAGTTTTTGAAGAAAAACTACACGTAGTTAATCAGGTAAATAGGCAAGATTAGTCTGACGTCATTGCATTGAATAGGTTGGTAGCACCGTTGACGTTGAGACTTAGTTGACAGTTGATTGTTTCCAAACAAATAATTGTCCTGTGTATTTTTCCTATTACTTTATACTTTTTAACATTTATTTTATATTCTAGAAAATCTTGGCTTAAAATAGATGTACAATACTTGTGAGCAAGGCTTGTGAGTTTGTTCTTATTTTATATAACTATTTTACAATTTCAAAATTTATTATGTATAATCTATTAAACCAAAATATGAAACACTTTTATTTTACTTATTTTCAAGCCATAATATGATAGTTTTTTAAAAAAATTCTACTAATTAAAATTAAGCTATCAGTTTAAAACTTTTTCTTTTTTTGATATGGTTATGGGCTTTGTTCCAGAATGTAGACATTACTTTGAAAAGAAAACTTGTTCTTTTTTTCGTTTCCCAAAAGACCCAGTTCTTCTAAGGAAGTGGAGGTATACTGAAGTGGATTTCATTTGTGAGGTAGGCTTAATTAACATTAAAAAGTAATAACCCATGTTTAATTTTGAATGATCAAATTTTAACGTGGAGACAGGAATCCAAGTCCATCTTCTTTGATTTGTTCATGCCACTTTAGTAATTGGGACAAAAAAAAATATGTCAACGTTATTTGAACATAATGAAAACAAGCTAGTTTCGTTCCAATCTGCAGAGAAAAAGAAGAAAAGATGATAATAATAATTACTGTTCATTATTTTTTTCTTTATGTTTTTAGAAGTTAAAACTTTTACAGGGTACGTAGTGTCAGCAAATCTGTAAGTGATAGAACTCAAAGCCTAGTATATATCTATAACCTCTCTCAGACATTTGATGAAAATATACCTATGGTCTGTGAACAACTCAATTCTGAAAAACAACAACCGTCAACGAGTTTTTAATAAAATGCTTCTCCATATAATTCAATACCTCAGAATTTACTTCGTCAAGCCACAAAGATTTTCCAAGTCTGTGGTGCTCTGACAAATTTGCAAATGATTTGCAATTCCCGTTAATTTCTGAAGTAGAACACTTTATAAAATAGAGTAACTTATTTTAATGACAAACATTTTATTGTTTATACACAGGTATTGTATATAAAAGATTTGTTTACTACTTATTTTTTATATTCATTTTATGATTATGATCTTTGCTTTGTGTATATTATTTTTCTGTTATTTCCCTTCGATGAGAGCTTAACTTTATATTATATTTGTATGTATATCAAAAATTTTCTTAACAGAACAAATTTTTTTTGTTAGGTATTTAAATAAATTGAAAATTACACTTTACCAAATTTTTATTTTATAAATATATTACCTAGTTCTTCCTTGTGTAAATATGAATAATCAAACTGTTTGTCCCCCTCAGCCAACATGGTAGGTAAGTAGGTTTATAAGACTTCATAAATGAACAAGTTTAAGTGTTTTATATTAATATTATATTATCTACTACTTTAACATTATAATTATGTACTTCTAAATGCTACTAAAAATATGCCAAAAAACAATATAATCTTACAAGTATTATTATAGGTATACATTAATTACTTGTATGTTTTTTCCCCTAATAAAAATGGAATATAATGTTCCAAATAGGATTTGTGATTTTTTGAGGGGTATAAATCATTAATTTTTTTGACAGCAGGATCTTTCACTTGCTTGGGTTTAGTCCACATACATTCCTTGTCAGTAACAGAAGTATTATCCCGAGTAAAAAGAAGTAGTGCTGCAATATCAGCATATCTGACCTCTGGGGCAGCTACAACTTGCTGAGTTTATAGCCCAATTAGTATCAATATCAATCTAAAAAATAACATAAATTACATACACCTCAAATCTGTGTTAATTTTATGATGCTTTACCTTAACATTATATTGATGATCCCTCATGCTTGCATGAACTTTTCCTGTAACAAGATGAAGCTCAGTATCTGAAATTAAATTGGTAACATGACCAGATTCAACAGCATTTTCACCTCTGCTGATGAGCTTTTCTTCATCTTTAAAAAAGTTGACAATTTCGCTCAATTTAATTACATATTTTGCTGCCATGATGTAAATAAGCTTAAAATAAAAGCATACAAAAGTAAATAGGTAAATGCTCGAGTAAATAATATTTTCAAAACCATTTTTACATTTGATTTTACTAAACACTACTAAATATTAAAAAAAAGTGATGAAATAATGCCTTAAAATATAAAAAAAAACAATATGTCATAACCTCAGAAAGTTCAAAACAATTATTACCAAGTTGTTTTGAAAATACATACATCGGTTTTTCGATTGTGTTGTTTAAAAATTACAATTTTTTCGAAAAAAATCCACTTGGGTCACTAAAAAGCACTTTAAATATATAAAAATTAAAAAGAAAATCTCTCTTATGGAAAATTACAGGCAAATTTTAATTGTTTGGAATCAAGCATTGCTCTGAAGTTAGCTTTGCATGCCTGCCAATCTAAATGTGACGTCACGACTAATAGGCTATATTTCGTCCAGGGTTCGGAAGTAATTAATTAAGACGTAATTTACCTGATTAACTACGTGTATTAACCAGGGTTCGGAAAACTACATGTTACTTTTAAAAACTACATAAACTACATTACATGTAGTTAATGTAGTTTATGTAGAGGGTGTAGTTTATGTAACTTATGTATGTAACTTTCAAATGTCAAAGGTTTGAGGTGAGGTTATAATAAGTTGAAGCTTTAAAAACACATAATGTATTTAAGAAAACAGAAGAAATATGGCTTTAAATATAATATTAACATCATATTATCTCTATTACACCTCATACAAATGAAAATTATTCATAATATCAATACATAGTTTATTAACGTAGTTTTCATGTAGTTAATAAACGAGAAAAGACGTAGTTTTTGCAGAAAAACTACACGTAGTTAATCAGGTAAATTACGTCTTAATTAACTACTTCCGAACCCTGGTATTAACATTTAACTCCCGTTCATTAACTACATGAAAATTACGTTAATAAACTATGTATTGATATTATGAATAATTTTGCTTTGTATGAGGGGTCTAAATAATATGATGTGCGAATATTATATTTAAAGCCGTATTTCTTCTGTTTTCTTAAATACATTGTGTTTTCTAAAGCTTCTACTTATTACCTCACCTCAAACCTTTGATATTTGAAAGTTACATACATAGGTTACATAAACTACACCCTCTACATAAACTACATTAACTACATGTAATATGTAATGTAGTTTATGTAGTTTTTAAAAGTAACGTGTAGTTTTCCGAACCCTGATTTGGCCAAAGGTATGGCCTTAGATTAGGAATAAAAAGGCTTATCCATTATCTATGTAGTATCCATTATCCATAGATAACAGAACAGATAACAAAAAACAAAAACAAAGTTAATCCGAGTCTGTGATCCGAGTCCACCACGGGAGTCCACGGCATGTCCACGGAGTACGAGTCAAAGGAGTCTCAAAATGGTCCATGGTCCCAAATAAATAAACAAAATACCAAATACCTGTACAATACATACAAATACAAATACAATATATTCAAGAACTTAATCATCTATTTTAGGTAACAAATTGTGCAGAGCATATTCAAATAAAAGTAGAGAAATCAGGGAAAATACTTATTTGCCGTGTAAATATTTTTAATTTTATATATAATGTGTATGAACTGCAACAATTGATTAGGTTGACCATGTTTTTGTAAGTATAGCTTTTATTCTAGTTTCTAGATTCGGTTAAAACTAGAACTTTTTAAGAACCATCAATTAATTTGTATTCTCTTCAGTGTTTCCTCTACAAAAGCTACAATCCTTATGCATTTCACTGTGACTCAAATAAATGTTTGAGTTCTATTTAAAGATACATATTTCTATGCATGGCTGTCCCTGGTGGCTCTCTGCCTTGTTGCAGGGTTGCAATGATTTTCAAAAAAAAATACAGTTTAATTTTACAGGGCCATTTACATTTTATTCAGTAAAATATTAACAACATAAAAATTAATCCTCTTCTACATGGTTATGAAATGTTGTCTAAAAAATAACATTTTTAAAAATGTAATTAAACTATATTCAAGCTAATTTGTCAATATATACCTGTTGGTGCATCGGCGTTGGAAACAGGAAATTTCATGCATGAAACATTGCTATGAAACCAATCCCAAATAATTTTAACACTGATAATCTTTATCGTAATTACATATCAGCTACACAATTTCAGTAAAAAATCACCATGATAAAATATAAAATGCTACTGTGTGTGAAATAACTTAGGCAGTGTACCTTTTTGGTTAATTTCCTTGATAAACCAATTCCTACCAGGTCAGCAATACAAAAAGTTATTGCTGTTTGAAGTGAATTAACTGGTAGACAGTTAGCAAGTACAGTAGACAATCACAAGAGGACTGAAGACAATTATGATGATAGAGCTCTGGATAGTACTAAGAACTAAAAGAAAAATAAATGTAATTTAAATAATAAAATCATCAAAAAATGCCAGAAGGCGATGGAGAACACAGAAGTACACTGTATTTTTTAAATAGTACTTTTGCTGTCCCTTACTTAAGCTAATTCCCAAGTAATACCATTTCTTATCATCTTATTAAGTAAAATAATTGGTTTTATATTAGATTATGTGTTTAGAATAGGAAGGTATTTTTTTCAAAAATATTTGCTAAATATAAATGGTACATTAGTAAAACAAGGGTAAAACTAAAATAGGTTTAAAAGCAATAAAAAGCAAACGTATTTAATGTTAAATGGAATTTGTAGTGCTGTCTACGCTACTACATAATTATTATAGGACCTATGGTTAGTGTGCCTGAAATGAATTTTTGTAATTTAAAACTTATTCGAAATAGCCAAAAAAAATCCCAATGTTTAGGAAATACAATTTAAACGAAATATTATAAATACTTAAACAAATTTTCAGAACAAATTTTCGAAGACATTCAGATAAAGTTGTTAGAATTTATAAAATCACAAAGTCGTTAAGCACTAAGATATTGACCTTCTGTGTGATAAGCTCGGGTTAAGCAAAAGTATATTCTTGATTTTGAATTTTAACCTTGAAAGGGGAAGTTCTCTGATATCCTCATGAAGAACATTAAAAAAAGATAGGGTTTTCATAAAGGCTTTTGGAAATTCCGGACAAGTGAACTCAGAAATCCGGACAAATGAACTTTGAAATCCGGACGTCGTAAAAAAGAACTTATAAATTTATTTATGAACTTTTATAGGACGCAAAAAATAGCCCCGGAATCAACAAAATATATATAAACCAAAAAAACATTCACTTTCCAGGAGTGCACCAAAAGTGAAAAATTTGACCGCCAAAGTATAGAAATGGGTAGTTTTCGAACATGCGTTGGTTAAGTAGAGCTGTAGCATCAGAGACTAAAATAGTCAATAAAGTAACTGAGAAATAAATTGTTGTTGTGGTCAGGTTTCCCGGACGGTTTTCCAAATCCGGGCCGGTCCCCCACGGGCACTTTAAAAATCCGGACATGTCCGGGTAAATCCGGTCATATGGGTACCCTAAAAAAGGATCAGAAACCTCATTAACAGAATTAGTCATATTCTAACTTAAAGCTCTTGTTTTAAGAATACTCCGAGCATGGATTTATCTTACATGTCTTAAAATTATTTTCTAGCATACATAGAATATTTCTCATGAAGATGGTCATCTGTCAATGATTTTTTCATTACTTATTTTTCTTGCCAAGCAGTTAAAATATATTCAAGAAGGAGCCACTAAATAATCAGAATTAGAGTGAGATGGGTAAGCAGTGAAATATTTATACCTACACAGTGTCACAGACTTTTTTATTTATTGACTTAGGGAAAATTTGACTTCGGCGATAGTTTCTGCACAGGTTTCTGCTTTGGTTTAGATTAAAAATGGCTTAAGAAAATTTTTATCTTATACAGGATTGTTCACCACATACGACATATGAGACGAAGTAGTGTAGCTAAACGATTAGATTTTTACAAATTGTAAGATTTTGGTTCTTTGAAGGACTATTAGAGCTACAATTGAAAAATATTTTTACAAGATACAGAGTGTCCCAAATAAGTAAAAAATATTATAGTTGTATTTTTTTAAATGGAACTCCCTGTATATTATTCTATTTTTAGATTCTACGATTAAAATAAAGGTAAATTTGATTAAGGTTTATCATACTTAAACCTTACCGTTTTTGAAGTATTTTCAATTTTATGAAATTGCAGTAAAAATTTTAAGGCTTCATTTCTCCAAGGGTATCAAAGTTTTTAATACTAAATATTTACTGAAGATTATTTATTGATCAGATATTGTGTTGCAATAATAAAAAATTTACTACCTTGTACAGAGTGTCCAAAAATTTATATTAAATAATTACTGTCTTTAAACGGCAATAACTTCTTTAATTTAAATGGAACACTCTATATATTTTACGTGAATCAGATACACAATGTAATTGTCTATCAAATTTATTATACCATTTTTCACCCATCTTTTCAAGTTTTCGTAGAAAATGCATTTTCTTATAATTTAGACCTCATTTATCACTATACCCATGGAATATTGGCATTTTAGATTATTTTTAAAGATGTAACAAATTTTCAAAGAGTACAGATACTAATATTATCGGTATAGTTCGCTTATTTCATTAAAAAGTAAAAAAAAACTGTTTAAATATTTTTTGTTAAAGAGGATCAATTAATATGATCCCAGTATTCAAACTACATTAATTGATTGTTTACGTTGATTAATAATAATTGCTCCAAATACTAAAAAACTGAATTTCGTGTGTGTATTAGACTGTGTGGTAAAAAGTAACACCTGATAAATTTTATTTCATTTTTTGACGAATGCTTATTCATAAAAACAGAGACGTTCATTTTCATAACTTATTATTATATTGATTTCTGAGCCAAATCCACATTTATTTAGAATACTTTATTAATTAAAATAATTTAAAAGTATGTAATTAACTAATTTTTGGTCCTAAATAATGGTGGTATATTTAATTGGTATACTCTTTCACAAAGATTTAAATAGTTTTTTTTGTATACCAATGGGCTTGCAATATTTACCACCTAAACATTTTGTACATATATTATGTTGCGTTAAAAAAATCTGAAATGTCAATATTCCATGGGTATAGTGATAAATACGGTCTAAATTATAAGAAAATTCATTTTCTACGAAAACTTGAAGAGATAGGTAAAGAATGGTATAGTACAATTTAATAGACAATTAAATTGTGCATATGATTCGCGTAAAATATACAGGGTGTTCCATTTAAATTAAACAAGTTATTGCCGTTTAAAGCTAGTAATTATTTAATATACATTTTTGGGAACGCTCTGTATAAAGTAGTAAAATTTTTATTATTGCAACACAATATCTGATCAATAAATAATCTTCAGTAAATATTTAGTATTAAAAACTTTGATAGCCTTGGAGAAATGAAGCCTTAAAATTTTTACTGCAATTTCATAAAATTGAAAATATTTCAAAAACGGTAAGGTTTAAGTGTGATAAACCTTAATCAACTTTACCTTTATTTCAATCGTAGAATCCAAAAATAGAATAATATACAGGGTGTTCCGTTTCAAAAAATACAACTATAATATTTTTTACTTATTTGGGACACTCTGTATCTTGTAAAAATATTTTTAAATTGTAGCTCTAATAGTCCTTCAACGAACCCAAAACTTACAGTTTGTAAAAATCGTTTAGCTACAATACTCCGTGTCGTATGTGATGAACAACCTTGTATATCTGGGTGTCTGCAACAAAAATAAAATTGCTAAAAAACGGGTTTTCTGACGGAATTTCGAAAAACTTTATTTGAAAGAGTTGTTTCTTTTTTAATTTTATATAAGTGCACCAATTTTCAGCCATCTAAATTAAAAATAAAATTTTGTAATTTTTAACCAATAACAGCCGGTTCTCGCGGTCGAAGCAAAGTTAAATATTTTAGTTTTTTTAAGTTTTGTTAGTTAAATATTTACCTAGCGGTTATATATTCAGTAAAATTTATTTAATCTGTTAATAGTTTTTAAAGAAAAATAAATTTAGTTGTAAAAATTACACAAAAAGTCACGCAAAGTATGAATAACTTTCAAATAAAGTTTTTCGAAATTTAGCCAGGAACACCGTTTCTTAGCCATTTATTACTTTAAATGTCAAATCTGATAGATACCCGAGAGCAAGAGGCAAAATTAAAATCATTCAGAATCTTGAAATTAGTGGAATAAATTAGAGTGTTCTCAATTAGCATAGAAGTTTGTTCCTTTAACTTCAATGTAAGCATTCAGAACGTTAAAATTAGTGGTAGTACTTTTCAATTAGTAACAAAGTGGTTAGAAATAAAATGTTTATTGTTTTATAACCTAATTAGGCTTCCTTTTGGGCACAACTGACTACGGAAAGCTGTTACCAGGATATTCTATTATTGAAGCCACCAATTTATTCCACTAATTTCGAGGTTCTGAATGAAGCTTTAAACATCATTCGGAAACTTAAAATTAGTGGTTATAATTAGCATAGAAGTTTATTCCTCTAAATTCAATGTAAGCATTCAGAATGTTAAAATTAGTGGTAGTGATTCGGTGGCTTTATGGCAAAACTTGCTATGTCGAAATGTTAGTTTTTTTCTTGTTACATATAATATGGCAATAAGTTCTATGATCCATAAAAATCATCTGATTCCAATTGGCTTAAAAAGCCCAATGGAACCTTTTTAAGTCAAATGGAACCATATGATTATTATCGAATTCAAAATTTTGGCCATTATGGTTTTTTTGTGTTACAATAATATCGCAAGAAGATTTCCACATAGCGCACCTTTTGCCATAAAACCACCGAATTTTCAGTTCTTAGAAAAAGTTAACAAACTTTCAACTTTTTTCACTAATTTTTACACATTTAACCTTTTTCAGATCAATTGCAATTTGAAGTCATCCTTCTTTTATTATTAGCCGTAGTTGCTAGACTAGCATACATGATACACAAGATTACTACAGGGTCCAATTTATATGCACCTAAAAGGTCTGCTCCCTGTAAAACTGCTATATGCATTGGATCTGGAGGTCATACAACAGAAATGTTGAAACTTATAGAGAATATTTCTTTTCAACATTATAATCCTAGATATTATTTTATTTCAAGTAGTGACAAAACTAGTTTACGAAAAGTTACTGATTTTGAAAGTGATAAAAGTTTTGCCATAAATAAAGATTATTTTATATGCTATATACCTAGAAGTAGGGCTGTAAATCAGTCATATATATCATCGGTTTTTACAACTTTAATTTCAGTATTTTACTCTTTTCCACATTTTTTGAAAATTAGACCAGATATGCTTTTATGTAATGGCCCAGGAACTTGCATTCCTTTGTGTATTATAAGTTTTGTTTTAAAATGCTGTTTTATTTGTAATACCAGAATAATTTTTATCGAAAGCTTTTGTAGAACAAAATCGTTTTCTTTAACAGGAAAAATATTAATTTATATCGCTGATAATTTTTTAGTCCAGTGGCCGTATCTAAAAATAAAACTAAAGAGGTCTGAATATATTGGTCAGTTACTTTAATGCAATTTGCATATTCTGAGTATTTAAGAGAAATCTGTAGAAGTTAGAATAGAATAACGAGACATTTATTTATACCATTAAGGACATTGTTAATTTCTCATTATAACGAAATATGTAGTACCCAACACAAAAAATAAATTTATTGTTTACAAAGTCTCACCTGTTTACTTCAACCTACTCCATCAGTAGAGCAGCCGGGTCTTAAGGAAGCCAGATTTATTTACCTATTTGGGACCAATCTTTGAAGTAATTTCTTGGGAATCCATTAGACTTCTAAACGGCAGGGATTTATTTTGAAACTTATGTACAGATGGCAAATGTAGGGGACACTACAGGGTGTCCCTTTTTCGTAAGTCTTATGGGGATTCTCATTTAGGAGTAGAGATCCAAAGATGCGGTTTTCACATCACTATGCTACTTTTTTATGAAACTAAAGATGCTACACACAGAATGGTCCTAGAGTTCTTGTTTTCTGAAATACAGGGCGAGTTTGAAAATGTTGCATTTTTTGACTTCCTTCATATCTCGGATATCTGATATATATAATATATATGTTACAGACCACATGTATGAAAACAGACCGTAAGTATACGGTCTAGGCCGTATCTATGTGGGTTAATTTTTTTCCTTTTGTTTTTGTTCTTTAAATTTCCGTTTGTGGAAAAATAAGCTGCTTACACATATGGACTAAAATCTTCAGTCCTTTTATATATGGGCTAGTTCATTTGTATATGGTCTGTTTTACATATATGGTCTGGTAACATATATATAACTTATCGAAAAGCTGAAAACTGAATTTCGTTGAGTTTGTTACGTAGAATCCAGGGGCGTAGCTTATTTTTTTTTGCTGGGAGCTGTCATTTTCGAAATATTACCCTATGATATTCCCTAACTTATGTTTTTTAATGGGACACTCTATATTATACTTTTTAATTTAATTTGCGTTATGTGCTGTTTTAAGAGAGTATTGTTATTTTATTTAATTTAACCAGATCACGCTGTTAAACTAGACGCAAATTGAGTCGCGTGTATCGCGTGTGACATGACCCGGCGTGACCGGCACGAGGCGATGCGCCACACGCCCAACTACAGAGACGCGCGCTGGTCAGGACATGCGGGTCGCGCCGCGCTGCGCTCTCCCATTTATTTCTGTTGTTTACAAAAATTCGCGTCGCGCCAGGTCATGTCACACGCGATATACAAGACCCAATTTGCGCTTAGCCGTAATCAGAGTTGCTTATCCTTAATCAGGGTCGTGGCTTTCGAAGCGGAAGCGTCTCAAACTCCAAGCGAATCTCCCTCCACTCTACCTTCGTATGTAATTAATACTATCTATCACATCGACTCTGCGTCGCCCGCCAAACGACCCGTTCGTGGACCTACAATTACTTTTACGTAGGAAGTAGAGTTCGAGACGCTTTCGTTTCGAGTTTGAGACGACCCGTGTGTGTCTTATTGATTTTTTTGATACACTTTTAATAATAATGCTACACACAGAAACTGACGAGGAATAGTCAGTAACAAAAATATGACGTCGAATAAATTATTTGGTTGTTTTGATTACCTAATTTAAACCGGCCTCCTGTGTTTAAAAGTTAAATAATACATTTTTTTCCTTGTTTCTGAGAATAAGTAGTATATCATATTTTTAGAAAGCATACAGGACAAATAAAATGAAAAAATAATATACAGGGTGTCCCATTAAAAAAATCATAAGTTTGAGTCATATTTCAAGAATGACAGCTTGCAGCAAAAATCTAGTTATGCCACTGAATTCTACTTGAAAAACTCGATGGGATTCGATGGGTTTTCACCTTTTCGATAAGTTATAAAATAACCGAGATACGAAGGGGGTCGAAAAATTTAACATTTTCAATTTCGCCCTGTATTTCAAGAACTAAGAGGGCTAGCGGCTAGAACAAATTTGTGTGTAGTATCTTCAGCTTCATAAAAAATAGCCAGTGATGTGAAAACCGCATTTTTGTATGTCTACTCACACGAAAATGGAACACCCTGTACAGGGTGAGTCAAATTGGACCCCTTTAAAGGGAAACACCCTTTTCTATAGGAGATAGACGAAAACTAATATCTGTGTCTGAAGCTCAATTCTTATCAAAAACATGATGGTGAAAACCGCAATCGATATCTATTACCGTTACGGAGTTACGGGGTGTTTTTCAAAAATGTGCATTTTTAACAAATCGCTGTAACTTTTTTGCTATGGAAAATTTGGCATTTTTATGAAAGCATTTCCAAAGCATCTTTTTACGTAGAATTTAATGGTTTAAGTATATTTTTTTAAAATTAATAATCGAGTTAATAATTTAAGAATTATCAACAGAAGATTTGATTTTTTATATGGGACACCCTGTATATTTTTAATTAATTGAAAATAATTTAAAATTACCTTTCCCAAAATATATCATACCTGATGTTTTGCGCTATTCCTCTTCGAGATATAGATTTTTTTAAAATTCGCCCACTTTGAATAAGAAGGCTTTAAACGAAAATAATATTTGCAATGAGAGATGCAGAATTTTATAACAATTTAACCTATATTTAACAACACATTTAACCTATAGCAATAACAATAAAAATTAATAGTAAACGAAGACATGAGATTTTGCTACAGGCGACATGCCAACCGTCTTCTGTTATGGACAGACGGGATGACCGTTTTTGAACATTTCTCGCGGAATTCATTAACTCAGTAGGGGTGAAAGATACCCTCGCATAACCGCTAAGTACCTCCAATTATTGTCTAGATTATACGGGCAATTTAAACATAAGAACTTTTATTCTTCCGCAAAGATAAAAATCCATAGGCACCAAGTCCGACGGCCTCGATGGCCAACGGCTGGGATCTTGGTTAGCTATTCAATTATTCTCGAAATTGGCTGCAAAAATTTGCTGATAACTTCAGTGTTCTGAGGCGGTGCCTCGTCTTGTTGGAAAATATGTTTTCGAGTTCTATTAGGGGCAGATCATCAATAAGGGGTCCAAAGCCTACTAGTTAAAAGTGAAAGGTGAACTTTTAAAAATTCTGTATTCCGAAGGGAACTATAACAAAATATCAAGTGTGCTATACTTTTGGAAAGGCAATTTTAAGTTCTTCTCATTTAATTAAAAATGTACAGGGTGTCCCAAATAAAAAAATCAATTTTTCTGTTGATAACTCGCTTAAATTATTAATTAAAAAAAAATACACTTAAATCATCAAATTCTATGTAAAAATGTGTTTTGGAAATGTTTTCATAAAAATACAATATTTTCCATAGTAAAAAAGTTACAGCGATTTGTTAAAAATACACATTAAAAAATACACAACACCCCACCCCGTAACTCCGAAACGGTAACAGATATCGATATGCTGTTTTCACCATCATGTTTTTGATAAAAAATGAGTTCCAGACACCGATATTAGTTCTCGTCTATCTCCTATAGAAAAGGGTGTTTCCTTTTAAAAGCGTCGAATTTGACCCATCCTGTACATATATTTAAGTTTTGTCTAGTTAATTAGATTTACGTGGTTTTACTTTGCAGTACAATTTTTTTCCACACGTTAGTGGAAAATTCTTACTCGCCGTAGGTAATAATTAAAATTACGTATCGCGCATTATTAAACTTCCGAGAGCAACGTTACGCAAGCAATGTTTATCAGAAAATTCATATTTGATGCGCCTTGGCTTTCTCCACTCTGCAAGATTCCGATCAAGTGAACTTAAAGAAATTGCGCTTAAAGCTAGACGTACCGTTTCAATGACCTTTAATATAACGTGAACTCGGTATAAAACACAGGAAATAATCTAAAGACAGCTTAGAGTTTCTCCACTCTTTAAATATTAATTATTTTATTTTACTGCGACGTTTTTTTGTATTTATTATATCATAAAACATTAATGAGTTAAAACATTATATATAGTATAGGAGGCCGAAATCAACAAAATATCAAGACATAAGTTTTAATCGGCATTAAACTGCTTACACTATTTCGCCAACAAGAGAAAAAAAGTCAGTGGCGTACATGCTTTTTTTAGAAAAATATTCCAGAGATAACCTATATATATATATATATATATATATATATATATATATATATATATATATATATATATATATATATATATATATATATATATCCCTGGTGATTATGCTGACACTTTTATAGCTTTAAAATATATCGCATTTATAGCACAGATTAGGTATCCTATAAGTATACAGATAAAAATCTTGTCCCTAATTCGTGGTACGAAAATTGATTTTTAAGACGATGTGCAAACGAGTCAAATTTCCTGTGCGCAAAAATAAACTCGAGTAAAATAACAATAAACAGCGTAATAGAGAGATATCGCTAAACCGAATAGCGTGCATGGACGTTAATAAGGCCAGGTGTTATTTCCTTTACGTGAGGTGGTATTAACTCTCTTCATTTATAGTTATCGGATCGGAAAGAATTCTGATCGCGTCGCGTCCGCTATTTAAACTTAACCTAACTTGAATTTAAAACTTTGAAATTGTTTTGTTTACTAGGTATTTTAAAACTAAAGGGCTAAAGTGCTTATTTCCAGTGCTTTATTGTTCAACGTCTGCCAGTGGGTTTAGGGCAATAAGCAACAAATTCTCTTAGAAGGGCTAAGTCGTCATCTGCTGTAAACCTAAGACTCTTTATACGTTCTTTAGTATTGGAAGAGGTGGAATCCATATTTTAGGCCATATTTATTTAATTAAAACTAATCCCAGCTACTTAAATATCAAATTACCTAATAAAACTAAAGCAATAATTCAAAACAATTCAAACATAACCTAAAATAAAAGATCTCGCCGGCTGGCTCCGGTTGTCAAATGCCCGCACATGCCCATTTAAGCAATTTTTAAACGTTATCAGAGGTTATTTAGAAAGAGCGCTTGGTGTAATTGATTAAATATCAAATTACCTAATAAAACTAAAGTAATAATCACAGGTAATAATTAAAAACAATTCAAACATAACCTTCAAACAAACAAACAAAAAATAAATTCAAACGTAAAATAAAAAATTAATTATAAAATTTACGCGCACACTATACCTACACGGACCGGCACGGACCAGACCACTAGAATCTACCGGTGAAGGTGACCGTGTTATTTAATAGAGTAGAGCACACTAGACCAGCACC